GACTGGTTAATGGACAGTCGCTGACTGATGAAAGCCTTGCGAATTGGTTGATACGGGCTGAAGGTTTTATACGTGAAAGACCTCTGGTTTCACTCACATCAGGTATTGAAAGCCTCCAAATGCTACCACCTCCCTGGCTACTGTTAGTGAAGGACAACTCATTAAGTATAAGTGCAATTGATCTTAGTGATAAGTTCATCAGAATATGGAGACAAGCCAACTATTTAGCAAATATGTTTCAGAAACGTTGGCCCAAGAGATGTCTTCTTGTTACGATGACGATATAGATGGATGAAAACAAGTACGAATGTGCAGACTTCAGCCTTAGTTGTCGTAGTAGTAGACTTTACCGAAAAGAATCAGTCGACACTCGAGTCTGTGCAATGGTTTTTGCCTAGTAAAGATGGTTTAGTTACACAAGTGGAGGTAAGGACGCCTAAATGCTGGTAAGGAAAGTCAAGGAAGTTTGGAAACCAGACATTATAGTGCTCATTAGAACGGTATCTAGACGTCATGCTGTAAGACACGGATACCCAAAATAAATGGCAAGTTTAAGGGGTTGTTGGGCGTACTTGTGTAAGTCCTGGTAAGCAAGGGCAGTGTGTATTAGTTAGGCTCGTATGTTGTGCAAGGATTGCTTGTATAGGTATAGGGAGTGCATGTGGTTATTTGTTTGAGTTTCCTATATTTGTTTGGAGTTAAGAGTGTCAATGTGTTTTATTATCATTTGCCGGTATGACGAAAAATTATTACAAATATCATTTCGTTGATTGTTTGGAAGAGAAAATAACGTTACTTCTTCGGGGAGTGTTATGTCTAAATAATAATATTAAGTGCCAGTAATTGTGCCATCAAATCATAATACAAGAATACATTTAAAAATACCTTGTTAGTGCTCTGTGGGAAAAAATATTAGAGAGAAACACACACGTTAGATGAAAGTTCCACAAAGTTGTTTCACTACTATAGAATGTCTCATTCGCCGATTTTTCCTTTTCGTGTGAACGTAGCCACATACTGGTACGTGAAAAAGGTCGTCACTGTTAGAAATTTATAAGGTCCTCACTTTTTGAATGTCTTCTAATACGTTTGCAGCTTCTTATTTATGTGCTGCTTCCGCTCGCACTGATTACCTACGATGAAGTTCTAGAAGGAGGCCCCGTTAACGAAGTACATTATTGCCACAACTTGTCACAGTTAATTTGCAAGAAACACGGGATACTAGACTACATGAGTGAGAAATATCGAAGTAGAAAATAATGTACGTTCAACCACAACTCAAGAAATGCACTGGAACCCGTGAGATCGTAGTCACCGATAACCACTATAATGGCTAACCAGTCTCAAGAGAGTGTATAACGAAAAGAGCATTGTATCGGTATAAAAACCACTGAAACAACGTTAGAAGAGCCAAACGTTGCATTTATATTCATCACAGTTGCTTGTGAAGCACGCATAACATGACCACAGAAAACCGCAGACGACAGCACCTACCTGTGACAAATCAAAAATTCAAATGACCGCGGCTATTCTAGCCAACGAAAGTCGGGAAAACATGAAGCGAAGTAAATTTGAAACGCGATAACGTATATCCCGTGGCAGCCTGTATACGGCCGTAGGTCATTTGATCAGCTGATGTCTATAGGCTATATATATTGAAAAAGCCTCAAAATTAGGTAATTATTCGTTGATTTGCGCACTTTTATGGTTGTATTGCAGCTAAAAGCCTATGGAACAAGGCTTTTCCAGCACAAACAGTATATGATGGTGTCCTTATCCAGCCGTAATTTACGGCCAGTTTACAACTAGATGAAATACGTACTGTTTCATCAAGAAAATACCAAATTATTATTTTTTTATTTTATTTTTTTCTGATTTACAGCTTGATTCCACACCGCATTTTCAGTACAAGTGTGGAATTTTCAGCATGGATATCGGTAGCCCAAATTCAGGCCGACCATAGATATCGGGTGTGCGCCGGCAGGGGATCGAACCCCGGACCATATTTATGGTCAGCGAGAGTCCTAACCACTGTGCCACCGACGCACTCAGAGACACACATCATAATGACTTTTAGTCATGCTTTTTTCCAATTCAAAGGATAAGACATAGACATGATGATATTGGCTAGTTCGTTTCGTTAGTTATTTTCACTTGGCTTTTTGTGTACTTTAGGTGATGGTGTCAAAGGTCCTCCACATGCATCTCTATAAAGGTAATCTACAGAAATACTCGGGAATTATTTTCATACTGCATAGATCTGGTTTTTACCAGTAGATGCAATTTCAATCTTGTCTGCTTGAAAAATATTGAATGACGTTAGTTTACACAATTCAACGCATTATTTTGCATATTCCATCACTTAAATTTTGTATTTATAATGGTAATAATGTTTACATCTTTTGATTTCTTATTTTCTTTTTCAGGTGATAGCTACTTTTGGGGATTTCATGGAGTTGGGTGCCAAAGAATATTTCCGAAATGTCACTGATTTTGTATTACATGTTAATTCATTAATAAATCTATTCCTCGATATTCGTTTTTATATTCTACTTGATAAGACGGAATGTTAGCCTTTGCATAAGTTGTGAGGTACAGAGTATATGAGACCATCTTTGAAATACTAAGTAAGAGCAGATATTTGGAGAAGCCAATTAGTAAAATGATTATGTTATAGTTAAATAAGTTAAATATATCCAAATCTCAGAAGAGGTATTGTGATTATAAAGCGTTTCGAATTGTTGATCCTCTTAGCAAAACACATAAACTGATTCATAGTCACAAAGTGAAAATAAATCTAAGTGAGATGGTGTGCTCGTGATTTCTACGTGTCGCAATTTAACATGAGGGTAGACTGTACCTATACGGTTAGACTTATAACTCAGTGCAACTATGGTGATCATAGTAATTAAAACAGAATGCCTACGGTTCGCAGTCACATAACACGGTACGCCACTATCTGTTCATCTAATCGCATTCACGAAAGTCTCCCAGACGCCACATTTACTCCTAATAGTTTACCCTCAATTATTACCTTAGCACCTGTTACTAATGTCACTGGAACACAATCTCATTACAACAGAAGGAACACAGATTCATTGAAAAATTGTTTATTAAACAAAAATTAGATTTCAGATGTACAGATAATTCAGATGACTAGTCTCCCGTCACTGTCAGTAGGTTCCATCTGCGTACACAGCATATATATGTTTCTCCATAGGTCTGAAAAGGTATAAGAATAGCATTATTAACCTGGGTAGTACACATATGATCTGATTAGGAAATTTTTCCAGATGTCTGCCTGATAAGCACTTACAAGTTATCACCTTACAAACAATATATGTAAGTAGCTATAAAGTTTTCACTAAACTTAAGGGACTTCGCAATTTATCGTTGGTCGATATCTAGTAGGTCCATCGAAGCATCATGAAATGACAAAGTTCTTTAACGACAAGTTGTGCAGTAGTTTCCAAATATTGTACAAAGATTTTAATAAAATTGACAACGGCTTTATGACAAATAATGAGAGTCTTGGCAGCAATTATAATAATAACGTTCATGTTCATATTGATTATAAAAACAATAATATATATTTTTATCGCAACGAATTTGCCATCAACTTAGGTAGACGACTACTTACAATACAATCATGTCAATGAAATGTATCACTTAATCTTATGAAGCAGGTGTCTACTTACTTTCACTGTATTCTCACAATACTGATGTGGTCAACCAGCTTACTCCAGATGAACTCAAGATTAATTCTGAAAGTGAATGGAGATGCAGTTTATGTCAAATAAAAATGTGTAGCCTACATGTATTGCACAGTTTATTGTGATGTCTGATACCTGCTTTCCGATCTTCGTGACAACGATACAGTAGATGTAGGTATACCTACATATACATAAGTATACTTATATGCTGCATCAACCATGCCATTTTCACCATGATTAACCAGACCGCCGTGTATATTTTATACTAATCTGAGGATCTCAGAGAATAATAGTAAAGTGACAGTTGAAGTTGCATAAAGTTATCACCTCTTCGGAACGCCGGATACATTCCTGACTCTCCCACGAAGTCCTTAAGGCAAAGTTCAACAATAGCGTCCCAAGGTATTTGGAGGTACAAGTGACCTTCAGCCGACCAATTATAAAGAAATGAGGAATTTCTGAATACAGAATGACGTATATTTACAAGAAAATGCATGAAAACACATCACACAGGTTATCTTTCTCTGACATGACTTAGAAGTATGTCCAAGTTGTAATGAGGAGTTTCAGCTGCTAAGTTAGACTAGTTTCTGCACATGTATTCACCGAGTTGACTGAAGATGAGCTGTTTTTATAAATCGTTCATCTCTCCTATCTTGTTCTGAAGTCTTCCCCAAAAGCTCTCGGTTGAATTACAATGGGTTCCAGTAAGAGGATCGACGACTACTTACCAGAAAGATATAGGTAACAAAACAAATTAAAATAAATAACATCAAGTACTATTCTATCCCTAGTCGTAACCCTAACCTTAATGCTGACCCTAACACTAACCCTTAACTTAATTCTAACCCAAATCCCAACACTTACCTTAATCCCAACCCTAACAGGCTATTAACACATTGTCCAAACAGTACTTACAAACATGATCTGAGTGAAATTTGCTGCTTAATTGGTGAACAGCGTTGATATTTCAGCTATGATAATGACAGATGTCGTCAGCCGATGACTTGTATGCGTTCGAGGTCACTGGACTTGCGCACTCGTGGGACGTTATTGTTGAACTTCGTCGCCCTTAGATCTTGGTATGGGCTGAATTCATTGAATTCAACAAATGAATACACTGGTATATCATTCTCTCCCGGGCTGTAATAGTATGTGTTGTCAGTTATGCACCCGACTTGATAAAACGCTCTTTGGAATTGTGAACTTCACAAAGCAGCTATATGCTGTTTGAAATTACCGCAACTCAAGTCACAAACTGGCCAATTACAAGCGAGTAAATCACTTGTTTATCTCACTCGCGGGTAAACGAAATTACGGCTGTTCACAGGCAATTTCCTCACCCGGTCCATGTCTTGAAAGAGAAGGCGGCATTTCAAAAGAGGTGTAAGTGGGATCAGCCTACCTATTTTTTGCGTGAACTTTGATGTCTCTCTTGTAATGTAATTATTATTGACTAACGTGTTTCGAACGTTTTCTGTGTTTCGCCCCTCCTTCGTAGTTTGCTATAGTGTGATCCCTAATTGTCCATTACAACATAACTGGAGGTATTGATTACTCTGCAGCTGCTCACATGATTATCTGTAGTTGTTGTCCGATTCTCAATTTTTACGCATGCTTATTGAAATGCAATGTACCAATGTTAGTGAATTATTTGTAAATAAGATAGGTTCCATTTGGGAGATGCTCCGAATTCCCATTGATTGCAACGGTGACACTTTGTTCATGTACCCATTTGGACGGAGATGGGCAAATCCTGATTAAACAATAGCTAAAATTAGAAAATATTGCTTGAATAATTGTCAAAATATTAAAAAAGTGGTTGAACGATTGAAAATATTGGTTAAATAATAAGATATTGGTCCAGTAACGGTAATTTATTTGTTAAGTGATGGTCAAAGCTGTAAAATATTGGTTTTATTTTAGTCAGAACCGGAAAAGTTATGTCATAAGCAATTTATTATTATTATTTCCTTTAGTTCCTAGAGGAACATAGGGCTTCAGCCATGCGTCTCCATTGCGTTCGGTTCTCTGCTAGAGTTTTCACCTGGCTCCAAGTCTGCCCATACGCTTTCAATTCTTCTTCACATGACCTCCTCCAGGTCACCCTTGGACGACCAACTCGTCGCTTCCCTTTCGGGTTCCACTCGAGCAATGGCTTGTCTAGTGATGTCACTTGCTGGTTTCCTCAGAGTGTGGCCAATCCATCTCCATTTCTTCCTGCCTATTTGTTTCACAATTGGTTCCTGGTTGGTTTGCTCTCAGAGATCCCTATTGCTGATCTTTTCTGGCCGGCCATCTGATCTTGAGGGGCATTGAGCGAAGACATCTGTTAATGAAGGTCTGTAGCTTGTTTGAGGTGCTCTTTGTGGCACGCCAAGTCTCTGATCCGTATAGTAGTATGACTTCACATTGGAGTTGAAAATCCGGATCTTATTTTTGATGCTGAATGCTGTCGACCTCTACACAGACTTGAGAGTAATGAAAGCTTGCCTTGCTTTCCCGATCCTCGCTTTGATATCCTCGTCAGTTCCGTCCGCCTATAGTTGAAACGATGCTTCCCAGGTAGGTAGTTAAAGGAGGTTGCTTCTTTCAGGTTTCTCGCATTTATGCTGATTGTTGTCTGTTGTTGTTGCTGTTGGTGTTGCCCAGGAATCTTCATCACCTCTGTTTTCTCCATGTTCATCTGAAGTCCTATCTTTGATGCTTCTTCTGCCAACTTGTTACTTTTCACTTGCATATCTTCCAGTTTGTGGGAAATCAGACATATATCATCGGCGAAGTCCAGATCCTCCAAGTTCTTTGTGTGAGTCCATTTTATGCCTGTTTCCTCATTGCCCGCTGTCTGTCGCATTATCCAATCTACTGTAATCAGGAAAATCATTGGCGATAGTAGGCAACCCTGTCTTCACTTCGAAGGATTCCGTGAGCTTCCCATTGTGGATTACTTGGCATGCAGCGTTGTCATACAACTGTTGGATGAGATGTATAATAGTCGGCGGCACCCCGTAGTAGCGAAGTAGTTGCCAAATCACCTCTCGATCGACGCTGTCGAAGGCCTTTTCAAAGTCGATGAAGTTGAGATAGAGAGGTGACTGCCATTCCAAACTTTGTTCAATGATGATCCGTAATGTGGCGATTTGATCAATACATGACTTGTTTCTCCTGAATCCAGCTTGTTCCGGTCGAAGTTTTTCATCCAGGTTGGCTTGTTTGATCCTTTCCAGGATGATGCGGCTTAGTATTTTGCTTGGGATGGAAAGGAGCATAATTCCGCGCCAGTTCTTGCATTGACTTTCTTTGGTAGTTTGAATAAGTAATGTCATAAGCAAAAGAGCTTTGAAAAAGAAGAGTGGCATTTTTACGTTGTGAAGTAAATTCTGCTTTTGTTGTTTAAACCACATCAGAAGCTTTTTAACTGATTTATTTAGTTGAAGTGTTGTTCATATTATTCACAGTTTGTGTTTTGTTTGGTATTTACGCTTTTTTTCACGCATATACGTTTGTGTATTTGGTTGGTATTAACCTCACAGTTTTTTCACGTACATATATTTGTGTTGTTGAAACAAATTAGCGCTATGGGTCCTAATAACAATTGTGGACGACCGGACTGCCACTTTCTGGTGAATGATGGTATGCAGTGTGACAACTGCAGCCTATGGTTCCACAAGGTTTGCACTGGTTTGTCACCAGTAGCCTATAAGAGATGTTGCATGCCATCATCTCCGTGGCTGTGCAAATTTTGCAGCAACCCGTTAGATGTCCTCATCCAAGAGGCAGTGGGACTCCTGATGTCCAAAAAATTGACTAAAAACGTAATCGAGAAGCCTGTACCAGAAATCATAGCCAAAAATGGCGGTTCAGGACATAATTTTAAAACTGAAGGTGTATCGCCACCTGGAGCTTAGGAGGCGAAAGAGGCACAGAGTGCCCAAATTTCTGTTGCGACAAAGCCCAAACGACAAAGGAAATCTAAAAGGGCAAGTAGTGCCAGCATGGCAACACCAGCCTGTGAAATGGCCACCCCAAAGCGCAGCGTGTCTAGTGCACGAATGGCCTCTAGTCGCGGCGAAAACAAAGTGGAAGAAACTGACTCCACTTGGTTGGTGCCGACAGGTAAGAAGCAAAATAAACGAAGGAAAGAAACAGCAACCGAGTTCACCAACAAGGTCTCGACGGCTGTTAATACCAGCCAAAGTCAGAAACCCACGGACTCTAGTTACAGTGTTATCATCTGGAATTTGGAGGAATCTAAGAACACAGATCCAGCTGCCCGACGTGCAGATGATCTGAAGGCGGTTAGCTCCATAATCCGGGAAATACTTCCCGAAAAAACAATTGGAGTTCACGTAAGAAAAGCCATCAGGATCGGAAAACGAAACCCTGATGCTACGGAAACTTCTCGACGACTACTTAAGATAGTTTTAGGGAACGAAACAGAGAAAAGCACCATCCTCAACAACGCGTTCAAAATTAACGATAAAAGTTTAAAAATAAGGCCTGATTGGCCTTTAGAAGATAGAATCAAAAGAAGAGAAGCCGTGGCTGAACTAAAGGCCAGGCTAGAGAAAGGTGAAAAAGACCTCAAGATATTGGGTTTTCGGGTGGTGAGGTCTCGGAAACCGATGCTGCCGAGACCTCTCTTCATAAGCCGGATGAACACGTAGGTGTCTCGGTGTGCTATACGAACGCGTGTAGTCTTAGGAATAAGCTCGCCGAATTAGGAGAATTATCTGAAAGACTACAACCTGATGTGATTGCTATCACTGAGACATGGTTGTTAGTGGGTGTAGACTTAACTCCACTCATACCTGGGTACATCTGCATTCGAGCAGATAGAGTAAGTAGTCGGAAAGGTGGCGGGGTTGCTCTATACATCCGCGATGACATAGGGATTAGGTCAACGTTGTCAGAAGCTCATGACAGCGGCACCAGTGAAGCTGCAAGTTGCGTTATTAATCTGAGCAAAGGCACTTTAACGATCGGAGTTATTTACAGAAGTCCTGCTAGCCAAGCTGATGACTTCGTTCTAAATCACTTGAGGGCGTGGGGTAGTAGAAATAGGTGTCTGGTTGTTGGCGACTTTAATGCTCCACACATTAACTGGGGGGAATTAAACTCCACTAGTTTGTATACCTGTTTCAATAGGGAGTTCACATTGACAGTGCTTGAATGTGCACTCGTGCAACATATGCATGCACCAACACGGTATCACCCGGAACATGATCCATCTACTCTAGACTTGGTATTAACACACCAGAAGGAGGACGTTGGTGACATTAGGTGCCTTCCGCCGCTTGGCAGCAGTGACCACATAGTCATTGCTTTTACGTTTAAGATTCATTCTCTCATACACAGGTCAAAATCTGCTCGTCCAAACATTTGGAAAGCGGATATACAAGGAATCCGGAACGCAGCAACTGCAGTTGACTGGTCAGTAGATACAAGTCGGACTGTCGAGGAAGCTTGGGTAGGATTTAGAAATACACTAGATTGTGTCACTTCACCTTTTATACCTTGGTACACTCCTCGAAAGCTATCGCACAAGCCACCTTGGATTACTAATGAAATAAGGAGGCTATTAAGACGGCGAAAGAACTTATGGGACCAATTTATTATGACAGGAAGGGAAAGTTTCCAGAAAGACTACCGCGAAATTCGAAATCTCTGTAAGTATGCGATTAACAAGAGTCGTATAGAATATGAGAGACGGCTTGTACTAGATAGTGTTCACTACCCAAAAAGGCTCTCCTCGTATATTAAACGTAGGACTAAAACTAGCAATGGTATACCGTCACTCATTAGCATTAGTGGAGAAACGGCTGAGTCAGACGAAGGAAAGGCTGAAAACCTCTCTGAATACTTCTGTGACGTCTTCTCGTCTGATAGTACCACCCAGGGATATGGTGAGGTCACTGCCATCGCCACTCAGATGCCCTCAATTGTGGTAGAGCACACAAAAGTCCTCAAACTACTGTCTAAACTGAAGCCAGGTAAATCACCTGGGCCTGATGGACTTCACCCTAAACTGTTAATTTCCTTGGCGGATATAATATATATTCCGCTTGCGGAGATTTTCCAAATGTCACTGACCCAGGCTAAGCTACCCAGGGACTGGAAGGATGCCATTATAAGCCCTATATTCAAAGAGGGGGACAGGCAATTGGTATCTAACTACAGGCCGGTAAGTCTGACATGCATTATAGCAAAGGTAATGGAAACTATTATAAGGGATCAGCTATTAGCTTATGTTGAAACACATGGCTTACTGGCAGTTGAACAGCATGGATTCCGACCAGGACGATCCTGCTTGACAAACTTACTGTTAGCTAGGGAAGATTGGGTCGAGGCCAGAGATAAAAACCTTCTGTTGGACGTGGTTTTTATTGATCTTAGCAAGGCATTCGACAAAGTATCCCACTTAGGTCTCCTTAGTAAACTTAAAGGTTTCGGACTAGACCAATGCCTATGTGAGTGGTTTAGGGATTACCTAATGGATAGAAGGCAGAAGGTTAGAGTTAACGGTGTACTATCAGGGTGGAAAGCAGTATCCAGTGGAGTGCCTCAGGGAACTGTATTAGGCCCCTTGCTATTCCTATTATATGTTAATGAGCTACCAGGGATTCTTACTTCATCTTCATTGTTATTTGCAGACGACATTAAGATATGGAAAACTGTAAATAATAACGAGGATAGGTCGGCCCTACAAACTGATCTAGATAAATTAGCTGAGTGGTCGAACCTGTGGAGTTTGGAAATGAATTCTAGGAAAAGCGCAGTAATGCACTTAGGTCAGAAGTCTTATACGTCGTACTCCCTAGGGGACACAGAACTACCTGATGTTAACGAACAGAAGGACCTAGGAATCATTGTCAGCAATGATTTGAAAACAACTGCAAATTGCAATGCAGCCGCAGCTAAGGCTTTTCGAATGCTATGGGCACTCCGAAGGGCTTTCAAACGATTAGATGAGGGCATGTTCCAAATACTCTACGCAACATATGTCAGGCCTCATCTAGAATACTGCGTACAAGCGGCGGGTCCATGCTTCAAAAAGGAGGCACATATCCTGGAAAGAGTACAGAGAGTAGGAACGAAATTAGTTAGTGGTATCTCACACCTTCCTTATGATAAGAGGATGGAGCATTTAAATCTCTTTCCGTTATCATACCGAAGGAAGAGAGGCGACTTAATTTTAGCATACCGTATACTTAAGGGTGATTTAGGAACTGACCTTTCTAAACTTTTCTCTCCTTCTAGGATACATTTACGGGGTCACCGCAAAAAGGTGCTCAAACCGAGGACGATTAAAATACGTGCAGAATTTAGATTCTCTCACAGAGTGGTCAACGACTGGAACTCCTTACCTGATTCAGTAGTAACAGCTCCATCGGTGAACGCTTTCAAAGAGAAGTTAGATCTCTGCAGAGATATATTTTGTAAGGATTAACACAGGCCACAAGAGCCTTCTATCCTTATCAACTGAATCTGAAAAGTTACCATATTTTCCTCACTATTGCCCATCTCCATTCTCTTATTTTTGTCCGAATGGGTACACCTATATTATTTTGCTCCTGAGAAATCTGGTCATCCTTTCTGTTTTCTATAGTGTACCCAGCTATGCGAAGTTGTTAAGTATCCTGATCCAAGGTGGTAACGAGACACTATCCAACAATGTGATGTCCCACACCGGACCTGTCTTATTTTATATATTGTATTAGTGGACTGCAGCAGTAAGGCTTAAAAGTGGCATTATAATGAGCTTCTTAACAAGCCGCATACCCCGAAGTTTTACTAAATGTGATGCACAAAGTCCCCTTAGCTTATATGGTCGAGAAATTAATATATGAGTTGGGTTTTAGTTTCAAAGGTGTTTTTAAGATGTTACCAATAATGACTATTCACTCTGCGTTAGAGTTTATCGGCTGTTAAATGCCAGTGGTCACAAGGATTTTTATGGTTCATCTGGGTTTTTCGAACAAATGTCTGGCACTGCAGCACTCCAGTCCCTGTGGTAGTAAGGTTTGCTCTTGGGGTTCAGCATCCGTGAAATTAGAGATCGATCCGTCTGCATTTATTGCCCACACTAGCTCTTGGTACTCATGAGGATAATCCTCAACTGTGCCAGAGCGGTCTGACTTGAAACTTTTTTGACGTGTACAGTAGTTCGGTATGTAAACCGTCTTTGTTGTTTTTCTTCAAACTCCTAAGCTTACGGTATAATATATACGTAATCGTTTGCTCCGATGAACAAAATATCTGTTCTCATTACCTTTCAAGGTGCTTTTTAATGTCACGTTATTGACTTATTATTAACGGACCTTCATCGGCATTTCTGTGGCCATTTGAAACACGGCTTTAGTGATAAGCTGCGGAAAGAATATTCTCTCTTAGCCTATGCCATTGTTTGTAGATTTTGCATCCCTATTTATTTTTTACAAAAATCCTGAAGGATTAAAAGTTTGTTACTATGACCCATTTTTGTTTGGCAAACAAGAGCATGCACCTAGGATCTCAATCTTGATGGTGAACCTCTGTTTGAAAGCGTTTGATGATGAAAGATTAGCTTATTATCCTGCAAATGAGGAGAAAGATATTATAGAAGTACTACAATCGATGCGTGCTGAAAAGAATTGCTTGTTGCAGAGTTAAACAGATACCTGAATTTTTTCTGATAACCTGTGATTATATCCTAATTATTGTGAATGATTGTCGACCTCATTAGGGGTCTAACTCAACATCAAGATGATCACAGTGAAACAACTAAAGTTTCGTCAAATAACAGTCAGTTACTTCATGGATATCTCATGGCCGTGTATTGCAGTAGTTAAATCTCCACTTTCAGCCAATAGGTCCCGGATTCGAATCCCAGTCTACTACTTCAGTCTGGGCAACTGATTGTTATCACTTGCTTTTGCACAAGTGCAGCTAGTAGCATAGTACTATGCTTAAGCTCTTAATTGGAATGAAAGATTCTGTAACGGTAGTTGATATGATTAGGATGAAAAAAGCAATAGTGCCTTGTTATAAAAACAATTTTGAGATGGAAAAATCAAAATCACATTTTCACATTGTCCACACACTTTCATACTTTTGTTATCAAAGAAATCTATTTATTGGGTTACCATATTTTATGTTCTAGTCATTCTTCATTCATGTTTGGCATGAAATCATATTGTTAAAGTATGTGTTAAAATTTCTAAATTTATTTCTCCATTATGTTGTTATAGGATTACTCCATGCTTATTATTTGTACACACAATTAGTTGCTCATGCCATTCTTATATAGCTCCTAATCGCCCTACTAAACATTTTACCTTCAGTTAATATACATTGAACAATAATCCTTTTATGATGGTTTCTGGATCACTGAGCAGCTTCTCATCAGCAGTTAGCAAAACTGGAGGTAAGATATGATGTGAATATTCATGTTTTAGGATGTATAAGTGGACTTTATGAACTCATAGAAAAATCTCAAGAATTTTTACTGAGAAATGTTCAAACATTGGACTCTATCTTTGAAGAATTCGATATTGAAAAATTTGGAATATTGCATGCAGCTATATTGTGAGTTACAAGATAATTCTTGTTTATATTAGACATACCAAATATATTTCACAGACACCTGGTGACAAAGAATGGATGATAATTCAAACTCAAAATTTCTTTAATCTCTGTACTCCAGAGTCGATGCAAAAGGTTCCATCTTATGGTAGGTTCTTTGTTGCTGTTTAATGTACAGTTCGTGTAATTTCACATGAATTTACCAACTGTTTAATAAATATGGGAGCTGCACATAAAGGAATCGGATGCATACTAAATGGTATTCGGAAACTTCAGAAATCTCCAGAGTACCTTACTCCACTCCACTGTGATCTTTGTCAGGTAATAACGTATTAAAAAAACATTTTGTAGCTTTCATTGGCTGCTAAAATGTTTAGCCCAACACTTTCAGTACTAAATACAGATATACTGGAAATTGAAAGTGTATGTTTTGAAGGCTTACATGATATTTTTGTTTAGAGTTCAGCTCTTGAATTAAATGATTACTTACTGTATTTTTACTACGGGGGGATGATTTATGGAGCGGTGAAAAATTGGGAGAGAAGCTTGCATTTTTTTGAATTGGTAAGATGTTGTTTTACTCAAATCTAGTTTCAGTGTTTACTTGTTCCTGAAGCCTCAACAAGCTGCATTCTAACTGAAGCCGTCAAAAAAATCATATTAATATCTCTTATTGTAAATGGGAAAGTAAGTTCCTGTGTTTTAATTTAATCGTTCACTTTTATTGTGAGCTTTTTTAAGAGAGTAGTTCATAGTATTTTTTTTAATCACTTGTAGGACAGGAGAACAGTGGAATTGTTATCAGCCTATTTCCTGTTAATATGCATACTAAGTTGTTTCCCTTGTTGCAAAATAATTCTTTTTCATAAGTTAATACTTATGGGTGCTCACTAGACGTTTTGAGTTGGAAATGATCACAATTACTGAACTGATTAACAGTTTCTTTGATATTTTGAATACACTGGAAGTAGTATTACAAAGAATTGCTGACAATGGATTGCAATGTAGTATTAATTTGTACGCTCGTAGTATTGACACTGGTATGGAAATAAATCAACAAAATTACTACTGAGATAGTTGGAGGCAATCGGCAGGAAGCCTTGGACCTAGGTTTCGTGCTAGTTAGCACTCACCAGTCAACAAGGCGTATCTGCAACCTTGAAGGAACTGATGTCCCTTCTGAGATTCGAACCCGCGTCACTCAGTGCTGCAGTCAGAGACGTTACCACTGAGCTATTCGGGCTCGCGATTGACCTCCTGTAGGACTGTAGGGAGGTATTTTGATTGGACACTAGTAACTAGTGTGACATGTCTAGTCCTTTCTTTGGTGCAGACTGAATTCTATCAGTCAGGTTTGCAATGTGGCCACCATTCCACTACAGTCCTACAGGAGGTCAGTCGCGAGCCTGAATAGCTCAGTGGTAACGTCTCTGACTGCAGCACTGGGTGACGCGGGTTCGAATCTCAGAAGGGACATGAGTTCCTTCAAGGTTGCAGATACGCCTTGCTGACTGGTGAGTGCCAACTAGCACGAAACCTAGGTCCAAGGCTTCCTGCCGATTGCCTGCAACTATCTAATATCATCTAATCAATGTGCACCGTGATGGCCAGCCACCTAGAATGGTGGCCACATTGCAAACCCGACTGATAGAATTCAGTCTGCACCAAAGAAAGGACTAGACACATCACACTAGTTACTAGTGTCTAATCAGAATTACTACTTGTTAGTGTAATTTCTTGTTGAAGGTTAATAATAAAGTTTGTTGAAGAGATTCACTAACTCCTTTAGAAGTGAATTTGCTTCACGAAATCTTTTAGGTTCCAATTTTTGTGTCATAATTTCAGTTGTATCAATAAGTTTTGTTTATTATGTGTGACGTGTACTACTGACAAGATTTATAAGTGGTATAGAGATACATATATATCAGTGGCAAGAATATCGGATGATGGAGAGATGGGTTTTGATGAACGATGCTTGTGAAACAACATGGAAGACACGAAAAACAAAAAAGCACAATACTGAAGATATATCCAAGTTTTAGCATAAAATAAACCGATTTAAATTCTTCATGATAAAATTGTGTCTCCTGGCAACCATCTTCTTGACTGGTAGTCGATTTATATCAGTATTGATAATGTTTTATTGGCTTGGATTTTGAACTTTCTGTCTATCTGTCTGTATTCGACATAGAACTTTGCACCGATGTGCGGCAGTTCAAGTCGCCACACTCCCTTCATGTAGCACACAAAGCAAGAGAAGAAAGTAGGAGAAATGCATAATATAGACAGTAAACAGAGGTGAGAGACAAAGGAATAGTAATAACGGAGAACAATATAGTTTCATTGAAAATCATAAGTCACAAGGAGTGGATGCATCTGCACCACTGAGAACGATTTTGAGCCATATCACCAATTGCTTCCAACTACTGGTTTTTACTGTCCCGAGAACCCCAACCAGGAAGTCTACACCTTCCTACGTGGCTTAAACTAACTGTTGTGGATTTCATTGACTGGTGCCATGTTTTGGTTTGACTGCCGCTAGCTCTTTTCCAGCCTGACCATATATCAGCTAACATTGCCCGTCGAGGAAAGCGATGACTAGGCATACGTAACTTTCCCGACACGTGATTTACTTTTTATTAGTTGGTAAACTTGGTCTATATTAATATTAATAAATTGTAATTCCATTGATCTTACTTTACAAATCGATATTATATAAAGAACACTAATATTGTTACTGACTACTATTCTAGAATATTCCATATGTATAATTGTAGAGCCAGAAGAAGAAATTATCGAAAAGGATATTCTGTGCTCAATTATTTTGTTTTTTATAGATGTCTGAATGAATATTTTCGCTATAAATTAATATGTGTGTTAATCGCCGATTCGTTTGAGCACCAGGCTTCTAGGAATTCTCTGACACTTCTGGTGTTTCCTCTATTTAGAATTGCGACATTATCCCAATCAAACTGGTGTCCATAATGTCAAAATTCTAAATAGAGGAAACACCAGAAGTGCCAGGGTATTCTTAGAAGCCTGGCACTCATTTGAATTAACAATTAACAAACACATTAGTATAGACCAAATTTACCAACTAATAAAAATTAAATCATGTGACAAGAAAGTTCTGATTCCAAGTCAATAGAAAAATAATCAATAAAGATGTAAATTGACTACCTGTTATGAAGATGGTTGCCAAGAGACACAATTCTGTCATTCATGGAGAACTTATATCAGTTCATTTCATGCTAAAACTTGAGCTGAATTTGTCGAGAAGGACGACTAAAGCTCCGCAATTAAACCAACAAGCTCAGAGAACACAACTAAGTGAAAATCACACAGTGTTGTACAGTAGTATAATTACTGATGACGTTACGAGCACACATTATTGCTCATAATCTTATCAAGGCATTCACACAACTTCCTTGCTTCATTAATATACATGAGTTATAATTGGTTAGGCATTTGAATAAATTCAATATAAGATAAGGTACATTCGGAGAGAGAGATTGTAAGTGTTATCAATAAAATAAGTTCTAGCCTTATGACATAGGATTGGGTTGGGAAAGAGTCAGAAGTGGTCTAATCAAAACTTATTATGCCACTTATATATATCACTTATTATACCACTATTCAAGAAGGGAGACAAGTCCTCATGTGATAACCATAGAGGAATCATCCTGACGAACATAGTCTCTAAAATCCTAGGCTCAGTAATCATGAACAGACTAAGCCGAACTCAGGAGGAACAAACGAGGGAAAATCAAGCAGGCTTTAGGCCGGGTAGAGGGTGCAGAGACCATATCTCCACTCTCCGACAGATCCTAGAACACAGAAACACTTTTAGGCGTCCAACAATTGCCATATTTCTTGACTTGATGGCGGCCTTCGACTCCGTGGATCGAGAGGTACTATGGCAAAGTTTGACTGTGAAGGGAGTGCCAAGAAAGTACATTGCACTAATCACGGCACTCTACTCAAACTCACGTATCCATGTAAGGGCTTATGGGGAATTGTCATCTCAATTGATAACAACCAGTGGTGTCCGTCAGGGATGTCCACTTTCCCCTTTTCTGTTTAACTTCATCATAGATTTACTAATGGAAGTATCCTTAACTGAACTTAACGACTTAGGAATCGACTTGTTACCAGGGAATAATCTTATAGACTTAGAATACGCAGACGAAATAGTCCTGTTAGGGGAAGACGCTGACAAAATGCAGAGTCTTCTGAACACCTTGAGCAGCAATCTTCGTATGTTTGGCATGCGATTTGCCCCTGTAAAATGTAAGATGCTGCTACAGGACTGGACTACGTCAACTCCTAGCTTAGTGATAGGGAGTGAAGTGATAGAACATGTTGACCACTTCACCTATTTGGGAAGTTGTATCAGCACCAACGGATTGATTGGTGACGAAATCTCAGCACGGATCCAAAACCTCGAGCTGTTTTCGCTAACTTACACCGTCTCTGGCGTAGGCGTGACATCCGGCTATCAACCAAGGGACGTGTGTACTACTGCTCAGCAGTTTGCTCCGTCCTTCTCTATGACTCTGAAACATGGCCAATACGAGTTGAAGACATGAAAAGGTTGACTGCTTTTGATCATAGATGCCTACGACGTCTTTCCCCCGTTAGGTGGTATAATAAGGTAAGTAATGTTGACGTTAGGCGTAGAGTGTTGGGCAAAGAGGGAAAATCAATCGAAGAGGCTATAAAGTTACATAGATTGAGATGGCTAGGTCACGTGCTGCTCATGCCTAACCATCGCCTCCCCCGACGGGCATTACTAGCTGATATAGGTGCAGGTTGGAAAAGAGTAAGTGGTGGCCAAACAAAAACATGGCATCAATCCATGAAATCCTTGACAGTTAAACTGAGTCAGGTAGGGATATGCAGACTTCCGGGTTGGGGCCCTCGGGACTCTAAGAATCAATGGCTGGAGACACTAGGTGACATGGCTCAAAATCGTTGTCAATGGCTTACGCAGATGTATTCAGTCTCTGTAATCTTTCATATTCCTTTCTACCATTACTCATTCTGTTTCACTCTTATACTTGTCAAAACTCTATTGATTCTCTCCACTCATTTTCTTGTCTACCTTTGTGTGCTATTTCGAAAGTGGCAACTCGAACTGCTGCACTTCGGTGCCAAGTTCTATGTTGAATCCAGCCAGCCAGCAATCAAAACTTGGCAACAATCCATGAAGTTTTTGACTGGTGATTTGAGCCATTTAGTAAGATGTAGACGGTGTCGTTGGGCTGACCGAGACTCTAAACTAATGGCTGTCTAGTGTTGGGGACATGGTTCAATATCGTTCTCATTGTATAGAGGTTATTCACTCCTAATAATCTCCAACATATATAAAATAAAATCTCCATGATTCTCTTTGTAATTATATTCTCCTTTATTCTATCTAGTTCTTTAGGTTTTTTTTCTGCGCGTTTGTGATTAAGCCTGAAAACTTGAACTGCTTCACCTCTATTATAAAGTTTCGCGTTGGAACGTCAGTCAGTCCATCTTTGGGATCTAGCACAGGGACTTATCTAGGTCTGCTTATTGCCTGGTTTTCAACTAGACTGGGACTTTTTACACCGAAAGCTAGAGTCATACATGTATAGTAACAGAAGGTGAACATACTCGATACTTTATTGATTGACAATTATATTAAGGCGACTGGTCACTTTTTTTTGGAAATTTGTATTTCCTTAATGCATTGAAAACGAAATATTTTTATTGCTGATTCACCATTTAATGCTAATAGGTTTTGAAGTATTTTTTTGTTTGATTGCATGGAGGATTTCATCATGAGCTAACATTAGTTAGAGAACCACTGGAAAACCTGGGAGTGCCGGACAGCTGTTTCGTCCTACTTTGGGACTCTTCATCAGTACACACTCACCGGGGTTCGAACCCATGACCCTCTGGTTACAAGGCGAGCTCGTAGACCATTGAGCCACTGGGACCGGATTCGATGGTCCTTGAATTCTAACTTCTGCCAATTCATGACATAGCGCGACCATTTCGCAATGTCTTCTTCGATGAGTTACTGACTCATCTTAATTAATCTGATGCTTACTAGCGACTGGCCCTATTCAGGCAGTTAACCTGGGGTTCTAGTGGGAAGCCGTGATCAGTAGGGTACAGCAGGTTGAAGATGAGGCAGTAACTCATCGAAGAAGACATTGCGAAATGGTCGCGCTATGTCGTGAATTGGCAGAAGTTAGAAATTCAAGGACCATCGGATCCGGTCCCAGTGGCTCAATGATCTACGAGCTCGCCTTGTAACCAGAAGGTCCTGGGCTCGAACCCCATTGGTGGGTATGTACTGACAAAAAGCCCCAAAGTAGAACGAAACAGCTGTCCGGCACTCCCAGGTTTCCCAGTGGTTCTCTAACTGATGTAAGCTCATGATGAAATCCTCCATGCTAATAGGTTTATCAAAGTAATATTAGACACTAAAATATTTTGTATGATATTCTGCTGTGTCAACTGAGTGCAGCAATGAAGAAGATAACACAGATATGTGTACGGTGAGAGTGAATTAAGAAACCACTTGTGCTTATGTAAACAAAAATGCTTATTATATTTGTCCTGACTATCTTAGATCTTCGGTTGGGGTGGTAAATTCAGGTCTAATTCAGTCACTCTGGCCACCATTCCTATTCCATAAAATTTGGATCTTACTCTACGTGAAGTGCTTCTTTATCAAAATCTCTTCATGATTTTTAAAATATTTTTATTACCTCAGGCTCTTCACTTGTGTTGACTGACATCTCTGTTTCTAATGTTTTTTTAACGGTTTTAGTTCAGTATGATCCCTGATGAGCCCGTTATGCTTTTTACATCGCCACGACCATGGAAAGTAAGTATTTTCTTCCGTTTATTTTTTGGCTCTTCCGGTGAACGTTATTTGTATGCAATTACCCTTACGTTGTAACAACAGAAGACAAGGGCCAGGCAACAGATCGTCTTTTTAGGAAAATCAACACATATTTATAGATTTTAATGTACATTATTGTAGATTATTGTTAGTAGAAAATACAGTCTTTTGATTGGTTGTTTCTCACAGAAAGTTAACCTTGCATCACTTTGTGGCTGTGTCAGGTCATCCATATGCTAACTGTATCCGCCTACACAAAGCCTTTGTTCTCATTTTCTCACCACCAATATTGGGGACATAAACATTGACGTCGATTACTGTCTACCAACTTTGGCTAGCAGCCAGCTCTCACCACAACGTTACTGATAAAAGTGCACCGTTCAGTATCTTGAAGAAATAAAATGGTCGGATCATACATTATGAATTCTGAGATCTCAATCTTGGTGTCTGAAGTGCTGTATTTACTTGTAAAAGTATTTCGTTACCCCATACATTCAGTTCATCTCACGGATTTCAATTAAACAACAACGATTGTCTCCACCGAATACGATGAATCCATTACACGTCGTTACGTTCCCCTCGGGTGTGTCTCAGTTGAAGAGGTTAATAGATGTTTGTTTTTTTCGTTCTGGATAATCGAAATACCCGATTTTTTGCAGATCAACGCCATTGGTTCTCTGTAACTGAACAGTGGACTATTTTCAAAGATGAATTGAATCCCCGGCCGACGCACTCCCGATATCAATGGTCGGCCTGCAAAATTTGGGCTACCGATATCACGCCTAAAATTTCATACTTGTATCAAAAATACTGTGTGGAGTCAAGCTAAAATAAAATTTTGTCGGCGACCATACCACGTTGAAAGCACCGGTTCTCGTCCGATCACCGAAGTTAAGCAACGTTGGGCCCGGTTAGTACTTGCATGGGTGACCGGCTGGGAATACTGGGTGTTGCAGGCTTTTGTGCGTCGGTGGCACAGTGGTTAGGACTCTCGCCGACCATGCACATGGTCCGGGGTTCGATCCCCTGCCGACGCACACCCGATATCTATGGTCAGCCTGCAAAATTTGGGCTACCGATATCCATGCTGAAAATTCCATACTTGTACTGAAAATACGGTGTGGCATCAAGCTGTAATCAAAAATTAAAAATTAAAAAAATTAGTGGAACTTCTAACTAACTGACTGATTATACATTTTCAATAATGTGATAGATAATGAATTTACACAATACACCAAAACATTGCGTAAGGAAGGTAAACATAAACCAGATGATTCTGCACTGTGAGTTTAACTCATTGAATGTGAGTAATCAGAATTCTGTAAATGATGGCTTCATATATGCCATCGTAAATTGTGCTGTTGTTTCAATCATTAATTCTCAACATTTCAGCTTCTCATCACTCGGCTTAGTGATTATAGGCTAGGCTGATTGATTCTATATTGTTCGGTGAAGAAGGTAATGGTTAACACATTTTTTTGTAATATCCAATACAGTAAGAGGAAAATTAATAACAACCAATAAGTGCTTGTAGATACATTACAGTAAAATTACACATACTATCATATTTACTACTTTAGTTATTTTATCAGTATATACCAGTGGTTTTGTGTTTTCATTTCAGTGCCACTGTCAAGCGTACTTGGAACTGGCTGCAACATTTAAATCTGATAATCCTGAAGATTTGATCCATCTTGTTAATCTTCATCGCGAGACATTTGTGGCAGTAAGTCGTGTTACTATTTGTTACTAAAATATTACGACGGCTTTGGACTACCTAAGAATATTATTTTCCATCAACCCATATACTGCTTTGATTTGCTCCCTTATTTTTGTTCTAGTCAATCACAATTGTCTTCAAGTTGTATTATGTACAGTCACGTTTTAAATTTGTCCAACTTATCGCGTTAGATCATCCTCAAAAATTGAGGAAAAAACAACACTGTGGTTGACTGGCTGACTGACTGTCCATGAAGTGGTAGACCTCTGCCTAACAATGTGGACTATCTCTAATTTCCTCAAATGTGTATCGAAACGCTGGTGTTTTAGCTATATAGGAAACTTGTTAGCTCCACCAGCAGTATGACGGTAATCTAATTTCAGTAAATGGATACACAGTTTCGTGGCAGGACAGATATAGGTTAAAGAACAAGCATGATAGAAAGTGTAGCCACTTTTATCAATACAAAGTGTTCTACCTCTAATCATGTGTGTTTTCATTCCTTCCAATGACAATATAGACTATCACTGGTCGGTGTCGTTCAAAGCATTTAAACAAATATTCCATATATATGTGCATTATAAGTGTTCAAATAACTGCAGACTGCAGTTTCTCAGATATATCTATCTTTGCAGATGAATCCACGGAATTCGCTGCCCCTATTTTTTTGGAAATTCCTTGTTCAAAGTCAGTTGGGACTTTAGTTCATGTGATCACGGCTTTCTCACGTCACTTGATCATGTGAATCTTATCACATTCAATACTTGTCTGGACAAAACCTTAGACTAAGTTTTCATAAACTATTATGATATATATGAGGCGTAAAGGAGAGTTTCGTTGCTGAATTCTAACCATTTCATTATTCTTATGCTACCGAAAGTGTATAGCAAGTTACACAAAAGGCTTTTTGTCCACCTAAAAAATAAAATCCAAGGACACAGTCCTATTCACATGAGAATATTCTTGCACTAAGTTGCATTTTGCGTGGTACTGACTGCGTGGGGAGTGAGAAGACGGGGATACGTTGGACCAATCGATATGAAGGGTCTAGAAGATCTGGATTTCGCAGATGATTTATGTTTTTTTATTCCTTCACGTTCCCAGTGGAACATAGGCTTTAAGCTAGAGGCTTGGAGTTTCTGTAGCTGTGTTTATTTTTACAGGATGAGGTTGCTAGCCTCTTGCCCAACCTTGCCTCTTTACCAACTTTATTTCTGGCTTAGCGAGGTAAAGGAGTGCATCGGCCGGGGATCGAACCCCAGACCATGTGGATGGTCGGCGAGCGTCCTGACCGTTGTGCCATCGACGCTAATTTATTTTTAATGTCACACAAACTCGAAGAAACACAGACGGGAAGCAACAAACTGGCTGAAGGGGCTGATGGCGAAGACAGGACTCCAGGTGAACATAGAGAAGACAGAGGTGATGAAGATAGCCAACCAACCAACAGTACCAATCACCATCAACGGGAGAGATTTAACAGACGTCACTTCCTTCACTTATCTAGGAAGCATCGTTTCAACCACAGGCGGAACGGATGAAAATGTCAAAGTCAGAATCGGAAAGGCAAGATACGCCATCATCAACTTGAAGCCAATTTGGAAATCTTTTGTGTTCCACCTCGAAATAAACAGGAAGATTCGGCTTTTCAACACAGCACTGTGCATCACGAAAAGCATTTCCAACAGGCTACTGCAGAATTTTTTAACAGCTGCCTTCGCTTCATACTGGAGATTAAATGACCAGAAAGAGTTAGTAACAAGAAACTGTGTGAACAAACCAACCAAGAGCCGATCGCTCAACAAATATGTAGGAGAAAATGGAGATGAATCGGGGATACATTGAGCGAACCGTCGAGTGACATCACATGCCAGGCCCTCGAGTGGAATCCAAGTGGGAAGCGACGGGTGAGTCATCGGCGCGAGGGTGACATGGAGGAGATCGTGTGAGTTGGAAGAGGAGATGAGAGATTATGGGCAGTCGTGATCCCAGCTAAAGAAGACAGCAGAAAATAGAAGGAAGTGGAGATGTTTTGTTGAAGCCATATGCTCCATTCGGAACCCAACGGAATAATAAATATTGTACTGTCATGTCTCAAATCCTTCAATCCTCCACACTGCCTAGGTCCTGATATTGTATTTAGCATTTTACTTCAAAAGTGTGCTGGTATTTTGTGTCAACCTCTTACACAAATCTTTATGCATCATTTCACAGGGATACAGTACCTGTTGCTTAGAAAGAAATAGATTTGATGTCTGTACCAAAATCATCTAGATGAGGTTAAAAGTTTTGACCGATATCCGTCACATCGCCATCTTGAAAACTATGGAGAAACTTCTCTTACTTGTTCTTAAACCTTTTGCATTTTGCTTATAAATGCAGTAGAAGCACTTTGAATGCTCCCGTTGCACTCCACTTTAATACTCTTTCAAATCTTGAAAAGGGCGCAAGGTTCATTCGAGTCTCCTTTTTTATACTACACTTCTGCTTTTGATTCTATTCCTAATGCACTTTTGATAAGGAAGCTGATTTCAGCATGCACTGAGTGGCTGTCTGGCTGGCTGTCTTTCAGGAGAGAAACAACATAGTGTTTTAAATGGAAAGCGCTCCACTTCATTGCTAACCGAAACTCGTGTATTTTAAAGCGCTATACTCTCTCCATTTCTTTTTTCCATCTTTTTGCATGACCCTCCGTATTCATCTAAAGCTAACTCAAGTAAATATACTAATGATCTGACAATTTCCGTCGCAGTAGTTTCTGCATTGGATTGTTTCTATATGAATAGATTGCTATCTGCAGTTAACAAGTGGTCTTATACTGAAGTCACCTAACTGTCTTATTGTTGGTGTTAGTTTCAGATGCGAACAAGAATTGCATGGACTGATTCAATTGCATAATGTTTGTAATATTAGCGACACTGTGATTGGGGGTCAATTGAATATCTCTTCTCTTGGCATTTTTGTTAATGGGCATTTCAATTCTTGTGAGCAATTTGGCTGAAGTTATCTTGTCTGATACCAAACATCCTTTTTATTCCCAACCTCTTACTTGTACCTCTGCGAAAAAAACCTGCAGAAACTTTATAAGAATTTTTGCTCGTACAGCAAACTATGAAAATTTTACCATGCCATATTTAACACGGGCTTTATGTGAACAGAGAGTCAGATGTCAGAAATGAAATTATCAACTTTTTAAATCAGTAACTGAACTCTAAAGTAATAAGCCAAGGTTATTATTACACGTAATATTTACTATATTATTTGTTTACCTTTCATTCTGTTTCACTAACTTTCAATTTTGTGGTTTTATCATCTTTTCAAGCTTATGTACTTATATATATTATACAAGCAGCTAATTTGTTGCAGTATGTATAAAACGCTGACAATTCTATCCTGTATGATTGTTATTGCTGTTTGGCTATCGCCTCCCCCGACGGGCATTACTAGCTGATATAGGTGCAGGTTGGAAAAGAGTAAGCGGTGGCCAAACAAAAACATGGCATCAATCCATGAAATCCTTGACAGTTAAACTGAGTCAGGTAGGGAGATGCAGACTTCCAGGTTGGGGCCCTCGGGACTCTAAGAATCAATGGCTGGAGACAATAGGTGACATGGCTCAAAATCGTTATCAATGGCGCAGATGTATTCAATCTCTGTAATCTTTCATATTCCTTTCTACCATTACACATTCTGTTTCACTCTTATACTTATCTTCACTCATCTTCTTGTCTGCCTTTTTGTGCTATTTGGAACGTGGCAACTCGAACTGCTGCACTTCGGTGCCAAGTTCTATGTTGAATCCAGCCAGCCAGCATTGCTGTTTGGAATAAAATGAGTATTATTCTCAAAAACGAAAATTCAAGCAAAGAATATTCTTTTCGATAATTTCCTTTTCCGACTGTCCAATTATATATATATCTATTTCGCAATAATTAACCGTAGGATCTATAACTGCTTAGTTGATTAAGATATTTCCACAACAAGAGGACAGAAACACTTGGTGTTCTTTAGGCGTCCCCAAAACAGTCTGCAATCATAGTGAAAAAGGATCAATACAGCAGTAGTTACTTGTAGTCTCTTTGCTTTTAAACTGACTTGTAATATGATATGGTTTCAAGGAACAACCCTTACCCCCTCCCCTAATATTGTGACATACTATCATGGTAAACACTGTATGTATAGAATTCTTATTTTGATAAATGGTCACAGAGATTGTGAAGACGTTTAACTGATTAGCGGTTTGGCCGTACTGTTGTCTATCTTTCAAATACTAGAGATTATCAATTTTTATTATCAATTCATCGAGTACTCAATAATTAAATATAATTTTATTGATCAAAGATATTACATTCCAATGCCGCATGACATGCCACAGTTATTTTGCGGGGTGATAAGACCAACCAGTCCAAAGAAGTGCGATATCATTTTCTCCAGGAAAAACTTTAAATGAACCTTGAACTTAAACTGTGATGTGTCCTTTAGGGGAAATTTTCGCCTTATTCAAAAACTCTTTACAGTGACAGTAAGAGTAGTGTTCTCCAATTGTCTACTTGTCTGTGAAAGCCTGAAAGACCGCATGTCGCATATGTGTACACATATCAGTGTACTTCTTCCTTGAGGGTTAAATATATATGTCATTCAATTCATCTCCTGTCTAAAAGGCTTCAAGAAAGCCATCCCGCATGGTCAGAAAAAGGTAGCAGTGGCTTAATAGGTAGTACGATAATTGGACACTGGCCACGCTATCTCAACAAACTCCTCTTTTAAAGTCAGTTGCAAAGTGAAGATCAACCAGCCAAATAATACAGTAATAATAAGTTTATTTTAGACGGTATGTGTTAACACACTACAGAATTTTCGGTGTATTTCAATTGCAAAATATCTCTTCGTACAGGATATCAAGCAAAGTGGTATTCTGTAGTACATTATGTGACAGTGTTGTTCCATCTGAAGCAGTATCGAATTCTCTACGATATCTCCCCCCTCCCGCCCAATTTTCTTTGCGAAGTTCTCTGCATTACGTTGACAACGAACCTAGTAATGTACGCCAGTTCATGTAGCGATCCAAAAGCAAAATTATGTGATTAAAACAATAAAAACTAGAGAAGATTTTGTGCATTAAACTGAGTGGAAATCCTTCGCATCGCTGAAGCTCTAGAAACTGGAGCTCTGCACACGAGAGTGTACACTTCTACTATCATGGCAATCACTTTGCTGTTTTCTAACAATTACATTTTGTGTTTTTTCAAACCTTTTGTAACTCTTCTATTTCTTTTGAACTTTCACCTAATGCCATATTTCCTCTTGTTACTACATGCATCCTAATTAAGACTCATTCATTAAATTAGTTATTCGGTTGCGTAGCTCTAACAACCTGACAACTAATAGTGTTCTCTGAGCTGGTTGGTTTGGTTGTGGAGCTTTCGTCGTCCTTCTGGACAACATCTTCAGCGCAATATTTAGCATAAAGTGAAATGATTTAAATTTCTTCATGAGTGATATAATTGCGTCTCCTGGTAACCATCTTCAAAAAGAATGGTTATCCCCAAAATTTCATCAAAAAGTGTTAAAAGTCGAATCAAAACACCAACAAAGAACCATCATCAAAGACCATAAGAAAATTCATCCTACCATACATGAGAAATATCTCTGAAATAACACCTAGAATATTAAAACCGTTTGATATAGACACAGCACACAAGCCAGTCAAATTGCTTAATTCGATATTATGCAAACCGAAAGATTCAACAGAAAAAATGGATAAAATTAGTACCATTTACAAAATAAATTGTATGAACTGTAACAAGTATTACATCGGCCAAAGTGGGCGTCCCCTTCGAATTAGAATCCAAGAACACAAATCAGCCGTGAAAAGACACGATATGTATACTTTAGTATCAATGCATATAGACAATTATGGTCATCAATTTGATTGGGATAATGTTGAAATATTAGACAGAGGAAACACGAAAAGTGCCAGGGAATTCCTAGAAGCCTGGCACTCAAACGAAAATGCAATTAATAAACACGTTAATATAGACGAAATATGCCAACTAATAAAAAGTAAATCAGGTGACCAGAAAGTTTAAAATCCAAGTCAATAGAAAATGGTCAATACATATGTAAAGATGGTTACTAGGAGACGTAATTATATCACTCATGAAAAAATTTAAATCATTTCACTTTATGCTAAATATTGCGCTGAAGATGTTGTCCAGAAGGACGACGAAAGCTCCGCAACCAAACCAACCAGTTCAGAGAACACTATTAATTGCAAATCATCGACCTAAGCTACAAATCTTCTCTATTATTTCTAACAACCTTATTCAGCTTCTATGTATTGGTTGACATTAGCAAATGTGTTCATGAAAACTCATCTCTTTTGAAAAAATTGTCTATAGATGTTTGGTACACCTAAAGAAAGATGAATCTGCTGAAAAAAAGCCTCTTTGCTGAAGTCCCTTTTTCCATTATTTCCTGTATTGGGGATTACTCATGAATGAGAAAAATGTGAGTGGTTAGTATGTAAATCTTTCTGACGAAATTGTTTAGTTTAAATGGAATAATGCCGACAAATGTTAGCTACATGTTAGCTCTCTGGGAGCTGTGAAGTTTCACCAATGTCAGAATCATGATCCTCGTAAACAAACACAAAAATAGCCATCGCCATTTTTCTAATTTTTCTATTGTCAATACGTAAACGCGTATGGTATTTTTAATTATAAACCACTGTCATTTTAATTTGATGTTTTTATTTTTACAGGATTTCAACTTTGGATTGGTTAAACAAGTTGTCAAATGCCATGTACAGTTTCGCATTCAAAGTCTAACAAAGGTAGAATGTAGAATGTCTGTATTTGTGTATTCATAATGAATTGCATAAACTAAAGTAGGGCAAGAATGCATATATAACAACACAACGTTAACCGAATCTAGACCGATATGCAAAAAGGCAAGATAGTTTAAGTTACTAATTGTACCACATCTTCAGAAATTATCCACTACAGTTCAGAAAGCATTATATATGTATATGATCGTGGGGAAAAGAAGTGTTTCCTCTAATTTCACCTTGGTAATATTTATCGAATACTTACTGATGGTCGCAGAATGACGAGAAGGTAAAGAGCGTATCTGTGAAACATCACTAACAGTGGTGAAAAATCATGAAGATTTGTAGTTGCCTGTCTGCCCTACCACTGGTTGTCGACCACTCTAAATTAACTCTAGATTCTGGACTTTTAGGGATGATCTTTCCTGTTGTCCCTTCTCAGAGCGGAAGAAGACACTTTACTACTGACATCACCATTCGCCAGTGGTGTGACTTTGCAATCAAACTATCAACATAGTGTAAGCGATGCGTACACCACGATCGTAATGCATTTAGTTTTCGACCACTATCCAAGTAAACTTTTTAGCACGGTATGGCCGGCAGGAACATTCGTTCCAGCTAGTGTATATCATTGGGATATGAAAGCTGAACCACGATGTGGAAGTAGCAGCCCTCTATCGGGGCTCTGAAATGTATGTGCAAGAAGTGTCGAAGACAGGCATGATAAAACACGCAAAGTCATCTGAATTCCTCAGCCTGAACTGACGTATAAGTGCCCACACTGAAGTGTTGTAAGCGCGATGGCTCAAATTGGCGTAGACTACAGTGTTTCATGATACACAATCATTTATGTTTCATCTGTCATATGTCCACTGACAGTCATACTGCCATCTAGGTAGATGAAACTTTCAACTGTTCACTAGCGAACGTTAGTGTAGACAAGTTATTGCAGACCAATTATGTCGGTGAATGGGTTACTTAATTGTTGTTGTTTGGAATCATTTAGCGAACTCTTCATTATATATAACAGTGGTCCCGAAAAAGTTAGTTGTCAATCATCCGAAACTTTTGACAATATGGCGCAGTATCGTTCACGAAAGCTCGTATGTATTTTCGTATATCAGATAACTGAAAGTGTCAGTAATGGTCATTCCATTGTTCCTCTGCATCACACTCATTTTTGTTCCCTTATTAGTGGGGACTTGAATTAGTTTCTTTTTTGTGTAAACTCGTACACTGTTCTGTCAAGTAGTGTTTCTCTTGTTCGATAGATTCATTTTAATTTATTCTATAACGGCCTAACGGGTATTTATTACCAAACTACGAATCCGTTGATTGGCATTTTGTTACACATTAGCGTAAACAAATTTCGATCTATGCAGTTTATACCCTTTACTTCTATGGTACTATGGCTCAGTCATTTTAATACTTTGTGTTACTTTTATATCCTAACTTGTATTACGTAAGACTATTTGCGGATGTTCATATTTCATACCCGACTGAGAGATTTTCCCAAGACCATTTGCATTTATTGACTGTTGTCCTGTTTGCGAATTTTGCACCTTTTCAAGTTCAGTCGGTACACACAGTATTTTCAATGTTGATTATTAAGTAATGTGTATTCCCATATAATATTTGGTTCTTTTTTAATTTTATTTTAGACTTTTATGACACTGTCTCTTATTGACGTTGTCACGCGTGCAAAGCTTTCTGCGACACACGAAGCTGAAAAGTTTATTTTGGATATGGTATGTAGAATTTTACTGGTTCATTTAATAATTCCGCCAATTGTTCATAACTTTTAAATGGGTTTATGGCATCAAATTTGTGCACATTATGGTGGCAAAGTGACCATTTCCTTTAGAAACACTTAAATTACAGTTTTGTATTTGTTCTTTGGGATTCGTTTCTTGAAAGCTCGATGTCTATGAATGTTGAAATCTACGTGAAATCATATTGAGTCTTGTTTTTCTTCAAAGGGTGATAATATCGTTGAAGTTGGAGAATAATCACTGAACCAAATAAACAACTTAATAAACCTCAAAACAACCATTAACAGCCAACCCAGCCAATTTAGTCAAAGAAAACAGTATATCCATCAAGAAATGTTTGTATAAAAGTTGTGATAGGATCAAACTAATAAAATTTTGCACAACCCCCCCCCTCCGAATTTCTCATGGGAGTGTCGATATCTATCTAATTGACCATATCCTAGTGATTATATGAAACATCGGTTCAGAAATTATACGGTCTAAGGCACTTGTCGAGATGATATTTTTTTTCCTTCACGTTCCCTAGTGGAACATTAGGCTTCAAGCTAGTAGCCTGAAGTTTCTGTAGCAGTGTTTATTTTACAGGATGGTGTTGCTAGCCTCATGCCCAACCTTTCCTCTTCACCAGCATTATTTCTGGCTTAACGAGGTAAAGGAGTGCGTCGACCGGGGATCGAACCCCGGACCATTCGCATGGTCGGCGAGCGTCCTAACCGCTATACCACCGACGCACTTATTTTCTCTTAATAATAAACTTGATTTACCTCTTCCAACTTCACCACTAGCTACGCGAGCATTGATTGGCCGTCCCAATGTCATTAAAACAATTATCCGATCGGCCTGATACTAAGTAACTTCTCCATTATAACTTCACGGTCACAAGCGGTGCATAAAGTGAGAACATACTATATCTGACCCATGTAGTAAATTAATCTAAAGTTCAAGACAAGCAGTGAACAGCATTTATATTCTTTGGGATAGATCTTGTTTAGTTCCTGAATGCATCACTTTTAAAAAAGCTTTCACTGACGAACTGATGGTGAATGTATTTTGTGCTTGTAAAACATAAGTTAACATATAACGGGAAACGACAGGAGGCTTGATAACTGTCTTTTTGTTTATGGAAAGACATTTTTAATGACACTGCAGGTCATCGGACGATGAACTGTTCTGATTGTCTGTCGATTTACCGAATATTAAACCTATAAACAAAAGCTTGTCGAATGAGATTATTTCCTGACCACATCAAAAACTAAGTGGAGGAATAAACACTGCTACTGTAAGGAAGAAAAGATCGATGAGGCTCGAAGGAATGTTTGCTAGGAAAAGCTAATTGTAGGTACATAAATTTGGTATACCATATCTCCAATGCTTTATTTGCGCATCTTTTGCAAATTGGTCGAATATCATCACATTCGATAGCTTGTTGAGTTCTGCACAGTGATTCTAACTTTCTTTTCACAGTTCTGTTCTTCCATTGCTTTTCCAGTGTCGGAAACATATTGTTGCTTTTCTGAACTCGTTCACTGATATACTACTTATATCTGATTATAAGTAGCACTCACCACACTACCTTTTTTGCTGTCACTGACTGCAAATGTTTTCAGTTTTGGCTGCTTCCTAGCAGTCTGCGTCTATATACTACTGATATATCTCGTGGGTAGCACACGCCACAAACACACTTAGAATTAGCAGAGTCAATCAAACTTTGAACAGAAATTAATTAATGTTATTATGACATAATATAGGACGAAGAGGTATCGTAAATGTTTGGAATGCAGCTTTTAAGGTCTCATTGATTCAATCGCCTTGTTTACCTAACTACTAACGTCTACCTTCGCTAGTATTAATATAAGCCTGAATAATTGATAGCTATTGACTGTTGGTGAGGTCTTTTCCATTTCCTTCACTTTGGTCACCACCACTGTTGGCTGTCGTTTCGGGCATCTGAGTAGTTATTGCTCCTCAAATTCTTAACCTGAGGGGATCAGTCTCTTTACCTCATACACCATGGAAAGGCAGAATTCCATCACTTTTTCTGATGTCTAGCCACAAGTTGTTAGCAGTCTTAACTAGATATGATACCAAGCTTCAAATGTGTTTATAGTTATTTCCTCTCAAAATGCGAAATTCTTATTAGGGAGCTGGATAAATTAAGACTCAGACAAAAATGTGCAACGGGTGGTGCACGAATTGAGTTCATGAAAGCTTTAAAAAGGAGTTCTAATCCCCCACTACCCTTATCCATCGTTTACTTATAGCTAAAGGTTACATTTGTGCTCGTCGTTGGTTTGATGGGGATGACCTTTTAGGTGAGATGTCAGTCCATATGTTTGAAGTTAGTGTTGACAAGGAACAGAATGGTTGCAGATGGTCATCATTGGCAGTTGATCGAAATGAGACTATCGTAACTTCCAGTATAGCTTTCTGACTGACTGCCTCAATCTTCATATTTGAAAATAAAAATGCCTTCTGTGATCTTATCCGAACGTTTTGTTTTTAGCAGCAAAATATGCATCACTTGTTTGTGGAAGCTAACATACGATGAAGTATTCTTCTGATTGTTTTACTCTAAACTTTTTTCTATAGATCAAATCAAAGTCTATTCTTGCAAGTATTAATCAACAAAGCGGAACTGTTCACTTTCTCGATGATCCTGAACATTACGATTCAGCTGAAATGCTCCGGATCCTTCAAGATAAGGTAAGTATATAAAATAAAATTACCAATAATATCTCTCTATAAGGAAATCTACCTGTCAGATAATAATGCTGACTAATGTTAGGCCTAAGTTTATGATATACTTTCTCATACATACACTAGAGAAGATCCGAGTTTCATTTTCCAGTTTGGTTCATTTTGTCGCAAATTTGTATGGTAGAGTGTACAGATTTTCGTGACGCTTATTCTCCATTCGTGATTCTTCTGTAAGTTAACTTTTTCATCATAAGTTAGAACTTCAGGTACAACTGGTAATCAAATACACTATGATCGATGTATGGAAGATGTAACTACGCTAAAATACCATACCAGAAGAATCATATGAATGATGTTAAGAGTAAGATCTCTTTCTTCGTACTTATTGTAATAAAAGCCCCAAGGAACCTCAAACGAGAGGAAAGCAGAGCTTACTGGCTTGTTTATAGGACTGCTTAGTTAATTCGACCTAAATTTTCCCTGCAGTTAAGTTGGTGGTTATGACTACTATCCGTATCACCAGTTATTTTTAAAGAAAGGAGACAATCCCCTTGTGTTAACCAAAGAAGGTCTTAGTATCTCAATTCTAACAGCAGTTACCACGAAGAGGCTGATTTCAGATCTGATCGCAAGTGCAGGTTTGGTAAGATAGATACCCATGTCAAGAAGTATACTTCTTGACCTGTGGATTTATGATTGTGATACTGCGAAGAAAATGCTAGTGGAATGCAAGACACTTCAATAATAATTATCATTATTGTTTCGTTTAATTCCTAGAGGAACATAGGGCTTCAGCCGTGCGTCTCTATTGCGTTCGGTTCTCTGCTGGAGTCTTCACCTGGCTCCAAGTCTGCCCACACGTTCCCATCTCCTCTTCACATGACCTCCTCCAAGTCACCCTTGCACTGACGACGAACTCGCCGCTTCCCTTTCGGGTTCCACTCGAGGGCTTGTCTAGTGATGTCACTTGATGATTTCTTCAGAGTATGGCCAATCTATCTCCATTTCTTCCTACCTATTTGTTTCACAATCGGTTCCTGCTGTGTTGGTTCGCTCATTGCCAGAGATCTCTGTTGCTGATCTTTTCTGGCCAGCCATCTGATCTTGAGTATTGAGCGAAGACAACTGTTAATGAAGGTCTGTAGTTTGTTTGAGATGCTTTTTATGACGCGCAGTGCAAGTCTCTGATTCGTATAGTAAGTAGCACTGACTTCACATTGGAGTTGAAAATCCGGATCTTATTTTTGATGCTGAGTGCTGTTGACCTCCAAACAGACTTGAGAGTAGTGAAAGCTTGTCTTGCTTTTCCGATCCTTGCTTTGATATCCTCGTCAGTTCCGCCGGACTGTAGTTGAAGCGATGCTTCCCAGGTAGGTAAAAGAGGTTGTTCCTTTCATTTATGCTGATTGTTGTCTGTTGTTGTTGGTGGTGGTGTTGCCCAGGAATCTTCATCATCTCTGTCTTCTCTATGTTCACCTGAAGTCCTATCTTTGATGCTTCTTCTGCCAACTTGTTACTTTTCACTTGCATATCTTCCAGTTTGTGGGAAATCAGACATATATCATCGGCGAAGTCCAAATCCTCCAAGTTTTTGTGTGAGTACATTTTATGCCTGTTTCCTCATTGTTCGCTGTCTGTCGCATTATCCAATCTACTGCAGTCAGGAAAATCATTGGCAGCCTTGTCTTACTCCTGTCCTCACTTCGAAGGATTCCGTGAGTTTCCTGTTGTGGATTACTTGGTATGCAGCATTGTCATACAGCTGTTGGATGAGATGTATAATTGTCGGTGGCATCCCGTAGTAGCGAAGTAGTTTCCAAATCACCTCTCGATCGACGCTGTCGAAGGCTTTCTCAAAATCGATGAAGTTGAGATAGAGAGGTGACTGCCATTCCAAACTTTGTTCAATAAAGTCTACTTATATTGATTTCTTGTACTGGAAATGTATGTATCGCGTATAATACAAATATTTCAACATTGCCGTAATATAACAGCCTGTTAGAAGTTACCCCTGGCAAATGCTTTCTTTTATCTGAAGTATTTGTTAATTTTCTCCCACCATGGGAATTCTGGGTTGTTATTATGAAAATGTTCAAGCATAAATGTTACGATATATATTATTCTCCTTCTGTATTATACGGTTATACTTTACAGATGAATGAATGCATGAAGCTGGAACGCTACTTTATGCAGCTAACTGATGAATTGGTAACAAATCCTGCCTACGTTAAACGAGTGAGTTACACGTGCAGCTTTTATATATATTCCATGAATTAAGGATTTTTGACACAGGAATATGATAAAACTAGAGTTCTTCATCACTACAAATGTCGGGCTATGTCAGTGGGCCAGTGGCAAAAAACATTAATAAAATAACCCCTAACTAGATGTTGAGTTCAGAAAATAAATTCCAAATGTTTTACGAGTTGATCACAGACTGATATCAGTTAGAGAACCATTGAAAACCAGGGAGTCCGTGATCAACTCGTAAAACATAACTAATCCTTACAAACCAAACTATAGAAAATTATTCTGATGCTCGCTAGTGACTTGCTACAGGTTGGAGCTTCCTGCAGTTCTAGTGAGAAGTCGTGACCAGTGAGGTCCAATTAGATGTCACGTGTGTGGATGGATGTCCCACCAACGACAATAGTTGGGGTCGCGCTAAAATCACGAATTGGTAGAAGTTAGAATTCATGTGCCGGCCATTGAATCGGGTCCCAGTGGCTGAATGGTATACGAGCTTGCCTTGTAACCGGAAGGTCCTGGGTTCGAATCCCAGTGGGTGCGTACTGCCGATGATTCCCAAACTAGGATGAAACAGCAGCTGTCCAGTACTCCCTGGTTTTCAATGGTTCTCTAACTGATATCAGTCCGTGATCAACTCGTAAAACATAACTAATCCTTACAAACCAAACTATAGAAAATTCCAAATGTGTTGATTGATTCGTGTCAAGATTTCGCATACATACCTGTGACTTTAGAGTAGTGTTAGGTGTATGTGGTAAAAGAACTACTTGCATGTTACTAGTTTTATATGCATTGCAGACATCTTTTTTTGATGCAACTAGTACTGTCATAGAAAGCATACCCGTCATAGTAAGATTAAAAAACTACGTGTAAATATCCACGTTCAGCATTTTGTTGAACAATTATTTGTTGTTTTTTTTGCGGGGAAGTGGGGACTTGAAATTCCACGCAAGATAAGGCTTAATTGGGCTAATTCTTGTCTCTAGTACTCTGCACGTAGCCATCTCGTTGATCACTACATAAGTTTACCTTGAATATATTTTGGAATTAGTAGTCGTCACGAAATGTCCTGTCAGAGTATCAATTCTGATTACAGAAATAGATGGAATTGACCCTAGCTCATCACAAAGAGAGCAAATGATCCTGTCTTTCTTAATAGTTTGTTTACTAATTTTCTCAATGCTATACGAGCACAAATCACCTACTAAAACTGTTTTTGTATGATTATGTAGGCTGGAACTTCGACACCAGATTATTTCTCTGCGTAGTCTTACTTTTCACTAGCTTAGCGACCCGGTTGACAAGAAAATCTTATTTGTTTCGCAATATAGAGAGACTACATACGGACGCAAATATTTTATTAAAGTTACTACACATCTGCTTGGGTATAGAATACTTGGTCACGTAAATATATTAACCAAGATAAGCTTAATACGTTTATACTCTTGTCCCTTTCCTGTAGATGCTTGAACTCGAAACGAAAACGACGAAGTCATCGGCGCAGTACTAAACACAAACTCCTGTCAAAGAAAAGTATTAATTAGTTTTATTTTGCCGTCTGTTTGTATTTGTACAAAATTGTGTTTTTTTCTTCGAAGTTAACGTGCTTTGCTGAAATAAAAAAACAAAACAAGAAATTGAATCAGAAAAAAAAAATCCACTTCACATAATTTTTCCTTAAATTTTATGCCTTCAATGAGTAAAATAATATTACTTCAAATACTTGACTTTTAATCCGTAGTGTTTGTAAGTTTGTTCAATACTTAATTTTTCGATGTATTTTTATTTTCCTTCGTCCTTTCTTTTACTGATTGCACTTATACCAGAAATACGAAATAAATGTTATTTTGTACATAAATCAAAGTACATTACCTTTTGACATAACTTTGGCTCTACTAAAATAATTCTAAGTTGTAGGGGGGGTGACGTGTACAATCTCGACGTTACAGCATTGTTAAGTTTCTAGCATGCACTACTGATCATCTCAGTATACACAAACAGGGAGTTAGGTAAATTACATACCTTCAGTGTGTTAACCATATTCAAAAGGATGTGTGTTTTGTTCAAAATTATTCGCGTCATTGTGGAATTCTAGGCTTCAATATAATCCTAAGGTAACTTTATAAATGGTAGGAAATGCGTGTTTCGAGACATTCTACAAGTGCAAGAAGACATCCCTCGCATACAGTATTTTGAAATGACTGTCTGTTATACCTGAGGAAACATACAGTGAAAGCTGCAGGTAAAATGGATGCTCACAGTCTGCCGAAATCAATTCCCCATCGCAAAAGGACAACTCCAACGACCACTCGCTTTACTGACAGTCTTCAGAGTTCTACGAAGTACGAGAGTCTTTTTTAAGCAACCCAAAAAAGAATAAGGATGAACAGTGAAGAAGAATAGGTAAGATGCACGAGTTGACAAACTGTAAGAGGAGGGGTTGAGTTATGCTTGAGTGCCTTAACTTCTTAATGTGAAAAGTCAGACGAAACATTCTTTTAGAAATCGCTAAGATATGGAAAGACCAGGATTGGCCAGAAGAAAGAATCAATCCAAGATACTTAACGTCAGACTTGATTTCCATATCACTATCATCAATTATACAACGGTCATAGGAATTAACAGCTTCATTCAACTTTCTTTTACATCGGAAACTGAAATTAACAGTCTGACATTTGAAAGGATTCAGTTTAAGACCATTTACTGACTCCTGACAGAAAGCTGTCCATTTTAGTTTAGTCTAGATGGGAGTTAACAGGCATTGAGACAGTAATGTCATCCGCATACTTAACAAAGTAGATATGCAAATACTGCAGTTGTTGATTATAGAAATGATGGATATTAGATAACATCATATGATCCGTCGGCATATTAGAAAGAAGTAAAAATTGTTTCTTAGCTTATCGCCAAATAAACAGTCTATTTGATGATGTCTCTGCATAATAACAGATCAATGAGGTAGCTATCATTATTCAGGTCTTTTTTTGTGCTACTTAGTGCCATTGCTCGGTTTGTTAAACACCTAACTAAGCCTGCCTTAACAGTTAAAGGATGAGATGAATTAGACATAGATATTTAGACTTTAATTCATCTCACCCTTTAACTGTTAAGGCAGGCTTAGTTAAGTGTTTAACAAACCGAGCAATGGCACTAAATAGCACAAAAAAAGACCTTAATGATGAAATAAAACAGATAGAAGAGGCGTTGGTTTTAAATAACTATCCTCTAAAATTCATTAGGAAGATTGAAAAACGCCAAAAGAAAAATAATTGTGAAACTAGTAATAATAACATAAATAAGAGAGAATATAAGTCATCTACAGTTATACCATATAAAGAGGGGACATCTGAATCCCTACGTAGGATTCTAAATAAAGCAGGAATTAGAGTGGCATTTAAACCTACAAACTCACTCAGGGACAAGCTCTGTAGGTTAAAGGACCCAATTAGACAAAATAATATAATTTACAAAATACCCTGCAATGACTGTGAGTGAAGTCAACTACATAGGTCAAACTAGTAGGTCAGGGGTAGTCAGATTGTCAGAACATAAGAATTTAGCTAAGGTAAGAATGGTTGACCCCGAGAAGATAAGTAATTTAGAAAAAAGCTGAGCAATTGCAATACATGCATTAGCACACAATAGGGTGGGAGAGAGTTAAAATTCTAAAAAGTAATCTATGTAGGTGGAGAGAGAGGTTGATTACTGAATCCTTGTTCATCAAATCTACACCCAACACATGCAATAGGAATGATTACTACCAATCAAATCAAGTGAAAAACAACGGAACTATATAAATGAATTTAGGAAGTCGTGTGATTACCTTGATATGATTATGAGCAATAAATTATGCTTGAAACGTCATCAGTAAACATTACTCTATAACACTGTGAGACCTTATCAAAACAAAATTTACCCATAATGGAATAAATCCTACTTAGTTTTTACAATGTGCTATTGTATAGAAACAGACGCAAATCCTATGAATGACTGAAGTAACACTCTCATAATACTATAGTGAGTCTCCATTCCATTAACTAAGCTTAACATGCATTAATCCGAATTCACATATTACAAAAGCTCATAGTATAGCGACGCATTGAAGAAGTACAGGGGAAGCAGAAATTAAGAGTATAATAAACATTTCATTAATTTACAGATGAAAATTTTGGTGAAGGGTTCTAGCGTTAGTTTGATCGATTGTCATTTCCGCTGATTTCATATTTGTAGCTGTAAATAATTCCCCAAAATTATTAACCACAGCAATCATCACTCAACATTGGATGCTGACCCTCACTGTTTAAGTCGACTTGTTTAGCTGAAGGCTTCCGGTCAAGCATCCCCGCTATTTGGTACTCCGTCGTGTCACGTGCGTGCACGATTACTAGCTAGCTAAGCACTCACTTCAACCTGCGATTTGGTCCCGAAATATACTACGTACTTTGGACGACAAAATCTGGTCTTTTGCTTTGCCTTTGTTACTTGAAGAGTGAACACTATAGAAGTTGTTGGTATAATATCTTGCGTTAGTATAATCCGTACAACTCGCGAACGTCGATACTTTCAACCTCTAAACTGGTGAACCTATCCACGAACTAAATCTTCAATTCACACGCAGATAAACCCGGTGCGTTCGTTCCTTTTTGTGTTTGTTCTTGTACTCCTTTGTAATCGGCATACTTTTCGTCATGACTGATCCTAGCCCCAAGGTTATTCGCATACACTCAACCGCCAAAAAATTCAGCTCGCACCATATTGGCCAGATAATGCTGAAACGTGGTTTCAGATTGCTGAGTCTGATTTTTGTGAACATGGCATAACCTATCAACGTTCACAGTTCCTTGCAGTTATTCACGCCCTACCGCGGGAATTCAGCAAGTGCGTAACTCTGCAGATGTCGGGTCCAGAGGTAAGTAACTCGTACGAGTTGCTCATAGCATCCCTCCTCAAGAGAAACGTTCTCACGGATCGACAACGTCTGGATGAGTTATTTCGTAACATCGAGTTAGGAGATCAGTCAGCTGTGAGCATGCTGGCAAGAATGAGAGAGGTTATTGGCCAAAGTCAGTTCGATGAAGGACTGTTCAGAGAACTATTTTTATCCAAACTGCCACAGTCAGTTCAGACTGTACTTGTGACACTTCGGGGTGTTCTCATGGATGACTTAGCTGTCTCTGCAGATAGAATTCTAGAGATAACTAAACGGTCAGTTACCGAACAGAATTCGAGGAAGGATTCTGCAATGATAGAGTTATGCAACTCCGTCCAGCAGATGCTTAGGTCAAACAAGCCTAGCAATTCCCCCTACCGTCGTTCTAAATCCCCTCAACGGCAAAACGCACGTGGACGATCTAAGTCCAACACACGTTCTCTCAAAAATCCTGACTGGTGTTGGTATCACAACACCTATGGCCAGGAAGCGAAATGTTGTCGAACACCTTGTGATTTCGACAAAGTCTCCAAGTCTGTGGGAAACTATCCCACCGGCACGCGTTAGCGGCAACCGTCGCTGGTGGCACTAGCCGCTTACTTTACATCCATGATGTAATGAGCCAGACTAGATATCTAGTCGACACAGGCGCCAAAGTCAGCGTCCTTCCTGCTACAGCAGCAGATCGACAGAAGGAACCTAACTTCAACTTACAGGCTGCAAATGGAAAACCAATTGCAACCTATGGTCGGAAATACGTCTATCTGAACGTAGGTTTACGCAAACCTATTCAGTGGATTTTCCTTCTCGCCGATGTCACAATGCCCATCATCTGCACGGACCTACTTAATCATCATGATTTGCTCGTAGGCGTCCGCCGTAAACGACTAATTGACAACACTACTAGTTTGTCTATCAAAGGCATAACTTACGTAGGCCCCAGCTTGTCAATGGTTAAGATGAAAGCAATCCTCGATCCGACTTTTCAAACGATTGTGGACAAATATCCGGAACTCAATTGCCTATATGACGATCTCCCGTGTATAACCAGCAATGTTATGCACCACATCATAACCTCAGGACAGCCCGTGACATCTAAAGCACGACGACTGGCCCCTGACAAACTGGGAATTGCTAGAAATGAATTCGATCATATGCTCACCCCTGCCATCATTCGGCCATCGAATAGTCCATGTGCATCCCTATTGCAAATGGTACCGAAAAAGGATAGTAACGATTGGCGACCCACTGGTGATTACCGGTGAGTGAACACCAAAACAACCCCTGATTGCTACCCTTTGCCTCACATACACGACTTGACGGCAACGTTATCTGGAGCATCTATATCCTCAAAAATCGACTTGGTTAAGGCGTATAACCAAATCCCGATGGCAACGGAAGATATTCCGAAAACGGCTATCATCACACCTTTCGGACTTTTCGAATTCCTACGTATGCCATTCGGCCTCCGGAATGCGGCCCAAACATTCCAACGCTTCATCGATGAAGTATTTCGCGGTCTCGACTTTGTATACGCATACTTAGACGACTGCCTCATTGCCAGTCCAGATAAGGAAACTCACCTTTGACACTTGGACTTGGTATTTGAAAGGTTACGCCAACATGGTATAATATATATATTTCCTATCAATGTAGGACACACCAGTTGTACAGGCATGGATAAGTATTATTTAAATTACATGAGTTTGATTTGTAGTGAAATTACATGGTTGCTGTCCTCTCCGACATCAGTTAGTGAGCACATTCTGATAGTTAGTCGTTCAATGGAGCACATAAAGAAATATAGAAATATTGTCTTCGCATTAACAAAAAAACCCAAGTATGTGTCGGATAAATTACAAATATTTGGGGAAAAAATAAAGCTTGAAGTCAATTCCTCCATATAGCTTTGTTGTGTGCGGCATCATATCTTGTTCTTGTTTTATGTTCGAATTGGGTATTAATTTAAAATGAGTGATTTATTTTTGTGATTTTGACATCATTTTTTTGCAAGTAATACCAGATGTGAATTCAACTGAATGCAGATTAATACTGGTCATTGTCAAGCAGATTTGTTTTACTGCACTCAAGTCACCCATAGCCCGCCATTTGTCACAGCATGGCTGTTCCGTACGAGTAAACACGTAGAAAGCTATATAAAAACCATTTTAGATCGTTGACTATGCTTGTATAAGATGCAGTACAGCGTCTTGTTATGGTGATAGTGGATTTCATCAAGGATGCTGAGCCATTACTATCCAAACCTTGACGGATAATATATGAGTAAGTGACTTCAATTGTTTCTCAGCTTCAGTCGGAATGCAGATCAATGCAACTTGTACTACAAAGTAAATACAACAGAAATGTACCAGAGGGCAAAGAAAAAGTATGTGGAGTCGAACATATTTATTTATATTTGTTGTACATTGTAGTTTGATGAGCAAAAATTTGTTTCTACTATGTCTTTTTATGCATTTATGCCACTAGTTTATTTATAGTCTTTAGAGAAGTAAGGGTATTTAAGCGCGTTTAGGTACTGTAGTAGACTAATAGTTGATTCGTTCTAGGAATAAATAGTTTATTTATATAGTCGGTAGAGTGAAATAGTGTGTACAGAGAGCGTTTGAAACTTAAAACTGTATTGCAGTTCCTGACATCTAGGGGCAGGTGTTCCATATTTTAGAGTACATGACTGTGAAGGAGTTTTCGCGGAGTGTTGACTTAAAGGCTTTTATTGTCACTGTGCAATTTTGGTTACGCAGATCGTAAGAGCCTTCTTGTGCGAATTGTATGTCCTTACTGTCTGAGAATGATATTTTGTGTAGGACCTTATAGAAGAATACTAGGTTTATAATTAGTAGTCTTGTCCAGAGTGGGTCAAGCTGTAGAATCATGCACCGTGAAATGTAGTCTTTCTTACATTCGTAGCCAAGTAGTTTCGAGGTAAAATATCGTTGGATGCTTTTCACGTGTGTGAGTGCTGCTAATAATAAATGGACAGTATTCTAGTGGTGGCCTCACACAGGTTTTGTACAGAATGAGCTTTGCTTCATTGTCGTGAAAGTTCCTGAGTATGCATCCTAAGAGCATCCTCGACTTTTGAGTCTGTGATGCCACTTGCTCAGAAAATGTTAGGTTACTCGAGTACCTCAGACCTAGGTCAACGACACTTTGGAGTTTGGTTAGGTTAGCCGATTGAAGCGTTAACTTCATGTCGACTGAGGGTGCACCGAAGCAGATCCAGCCACATTTTTTAAGGTTAAATTGGAGGTTCCATAAAGACGACCAAGCAGTCACTTTATCTAGTTCTTTTTGTACAACATTCTGGAAGTACCCTAGGTCATCAGATTGGAATGTATAGGCTACTTTGAGGTCATCTGCAAAGATGAATGGTTTACCATGAGAGAAGCAAGCGCATATGTCGTTAATGTGTAGAGTAAATAGAAAGGGTCCAATGACACTACCTTGTACTACACCAGACGTTATTTGGCTAGGTTTCGAAGTTATGGATCCGAGTTTAACTATTTGGGACCTGTTGTTGAGGAATGATTTAAGCCATCCTAATAGTGGGTCACGTATTCCTAAGGATTTCAGCTTGTGCATTAGTAGTAAATGGTCGACGCGGTCAAATTCCTTTGAGATGTCAAAGTAGATGACAAGTACTAGTTGTCGTCTGTCACGCCAATATCCAAAAGTGTCAAATAGGCGTTGACTTACTCGACTTTCTGGGTCACACTATTGACTATCAGGGCATTCGCCCACTAGCTACTAAAGTCAAAGAGATACTGAACTTCCCGGAGCCAAAGACAGTGAAATGCCTTCGCACTTTTAACGGCTTGGTAAGTTATTACCGACGATTTATTCCTAACTGTGCTTCTCTGATTCAGCCATTAACAGACCTCCTTCGATGGAATAACAAGTCTATCGAACTCAACGCGTCTTCTCGACATGCTTTTACTCAGGTAAAGAAGGCTATTGTGGATGCCACCCTTCTTATGTATCGGGATCCAACGGCACCGTTAAGTATTTCAGTTGATGCATCAGACACTGCAATCGGCGCAGTTCTGCAACAACTAGTTAACAAAGAGTGGCAACCACTCGCCTTTTTCTCGAGGCACCTTCAATTAACTGAAACGAAGTACAGCACATTTGGAAGAGAACTTCTAGCTATGTACTGTGCTATACGCCATTTTCGACATTCAGTTGAGGGTCGTGAATTCATAATTTTCACTGACCACAAACCTCTGACGTACTCTCTGAACTCAACTTCAGATAAATATTCACCCAGGGAATCACGACAATTGGATTACGTTTCACAGTTTACATCGGATATTCGCCATGTATCTGGAGTGAACAACACAGTGGCAGATGCCTTGTCACGTGTTTGTTCCTTCACCCAAATCGACGGCATAGACCTTGTAAAACTGGCTCGTCCTCAAAATGAAGATACCGAGCTTCAGCATGAGTTGTCGAAAACAACTCTACAATTATCCGAGAAACCTTTAGGTATAGGAAAAGATACTATTCTCTGCGACATTTCCACTAGTACTCCTCGCCCTATAGTACCTGAAAGTTGTCGTCGTAACGTCTTCAATACGTTGCATGGCTTATCACACCCAGGTATTCGAACTACCGGCAAGCCCGTAACCAGTCGGTTTTGTTGGTCTGGTATCAACAAGGAAGTAAGGGAATGGGCACAGACCTGCTTAGCTTGCCAAAAGTGCAAGGTAATAATACACACCAAAAGCCCCCTTGGCACCTTTCTTATCCCCGATGCACGTTTCGAACACGTCCATGTAGATTTAGTTGGCCCCCTTCTAGAATCTCATGGATATACCTATATGTTAACCTGCATCGATCGCTTCACACGATGGCCTGAGGCAGTACCCCTCAAGGATATATCTGCTCAAACCGTCGCACGCGTCTTTGCAGAAAGATGGATCGCAAACTTTGGATGTCCATCTTCCATAACAACTGATCGCGGGTGGCAATTCTAAAGCGGTTTATTCTTCGCTTTGACCAAAATCCTTGGTTGCATGGGTTTTCGAATACGTTCTATCTTCATTAAATTGGTAGCTCTCTGATTGAATTGATCAATAAGATATTTAAGGCCAGTACGTGTAGACACTGTATTCATTTCCATTCGCGCCTTCAGTAAAGCAATCGTTGCAGATTGTTGTTTAATACGGTCATCCATAATATTTAAATCCTTAATAGGATCGATTGTAGGTAACCTCCCGCCCAATTTCTCTTCAGCACGACTAACGCCATCCCAAATTTTTCGTTTAACATGTTCTGATTGAGGAAACAATCTGTTGCGTAACATCCGAGTATTTTTGTAGTCACATTCGAATAGTGCACCTAAAGTAAGACAAACACTCGAAATAGAAGAAAACAAACAAATGGCACAGACACCATTTGAATGACCGATGTTTCAGCACTGGGATGAATTAGGAAATCGCTATCACTGAATGGTTTCATAAGTGAAAGAGGTACTGGCTTTTTGGTGAAATCTGAATTGTGTAAAATATGATTCTCAGCAACTTCCATAAGACAAGTAACTGAAATCCCGTTATCACGTACAGAGCTAACATTTGCATAATGGGAACGATCAACGTGTATAACGATTGATCGATTGTCATTTCCGCTGATTTCATATTCAAAAAGCTCCATTTACCCAGAATATGAAGCACAACATGAAGTTATGAAAGATAACTCGACATATTAGTATACAATATGAACACACTGATTCTATTAATACTAGGTAAAATTCCAATGCAAATAAATGTATTTGTAGTCCACAGCTGGTTTCTAAGTTAACGCCGTATGCATAAATAGACCTTATATGTTTTCCAGTATTAGAGGATTATACAGAAATTTCAAGACAATCTCTGAAACATGCCTACTGTTGAGGCGTCATTCTCTCATCAAGATTACTTGCAGACCAACTTCACACTAAATATGTTTACATTAAAGGAAGTATTGTAAACAATAATATATATTCTCATTTTTGTACATGAGGGACACCAGTTTACAGGCATCATCAATCCGACAAATTACACATACGATTAGTAGGCATCTTTAATAATGATAATATAATTAGGTATATATTTATTCTCACCTGTGTAGGACACACTAACTGTATAGGCATGGTTAAGTTATTTAAATTACATGATTTACGGTCAAATTACATGATCGCTGTCATTTTGTCTTCAGTTTATGGGAAAAATTTGATAATTAGTGATTCAATGGACCACATCAAGAAATATGGAGATGTTGTCTTCGCATTAACATAAAGCCCAAGTATGTGTTGGACAGATTACAGATAGTCGAGGAAAAAATAAAGCTTGAAGTCATTACCCTCATATAACAATGAAATGCATCTTATAATAATATATTCTCACTTTATGCACATGAGGGACTCCAGTTGACAGGCATCATCAATATGATAATAATGTACACTTGGAGTAGGCATGTTTAAAATTTTTCACTGACACAAGATATATACAGGGGAAGACAATGGAATAATGACAGTGAGCACATTTCGCACAAGTTAAAACAACTTATATGATATAATCCTAGGCACCATTATTGTTTGAATTTGTCGAAAATGCGCGTAACAACTGAGTGTTGCGTTACATTTGGTCGATATGGCGGACTAAGAAATCAATCCACAATCTCATTAATGTCTAGTAAACATCGTTTTGTGAATCCTATAGAAATTACATTCTCATATTTAGTAAACTATAGCCATCAAATATAAGCTGAACATGCCTCGGTTACTCTAAACTTTAGCAGCCCAAACCGAAACTACCTTGAGAACGGAAAAATGACCTTGATCAGCCAATCAGGTGGCTGTTTTTCCAGCAATGGGTTTTGGGGATATATGACACCAGCCTCCAGAAAGGACATATTGAGGCGACTCCTAAGCGCAGGGCATGTGTATTATTGCCTATTATCTAGCGCTTAGTGCTGCCTGGGACGACTACTGTCGTTTTGTTTAGCCTTCTGATTGATCCTTGACAAGGTCATTTGTCCGTTCGTAAGGTAGTTTCGGTCTGGGCTGCTAAAGTTTAGAGTCACCCCTGCTGTGTTGATGAGGGTATCAACTTCATTTAATTCAACCTAGACATTCTATCGTGCCCTGCATCCTGGAAATTTCAGGAGAAACTCTCCTCCACTATTGGTGACCAAAAATGTTGGAGCATTAGGTAAGCAGTGTCAGTGGAAACAGTATAATAGACAGTATCCCAAGCTTACTATAATGCTGAATTAAATCTAACTAATTCTGAAATAACTTACATTCCACCCCAGCTAGCATTTTTTCGGGCGCACTGCAGATTTTTGGGGCAAAAAACTTCGGAGGCATTGCAGATTTTGAGAATTTGAACCTAAGTCTGCCCCAAAAAGTCTGCAGTGCACCCTAAGTTACTATTACATACTAAAGCCTGGTACAACGCGCCTATGGTTCCGCATTTAACCTGCGGTCGACAACTAACACCACGTCAAATCTATTACGTGCACAGTTCGCCTCAATAAACAGCAAACTAGCAGCAGCTCAACGACTCACGATATCAAAAAACAGTGGATTTCAATTGAAAATACATTTAACAATCTTTTAAAAGGAATTTACAATCTTTTGACAAGTCATATAATTAAAACATCTGGTAAATCGGCCGAAAAATTCATCCGTGTGCTTTCAGCGTTCGGTATGTTCTCTTTGTTGACATCGACGGTGATCTTAAAATGGAAGTTTGAAAAAATAAATACCTACCAAAGGGGAACGCCGTCGCCTTCTTATCCTCGACTTCAGTCTATCTCGACTGTTATGGAACCAACGTTGAATGGCAGTCGTGATAGCTTTCGCTGTGCTACGTCGGTCAGCACTACCTACTTGATGTAAACTATTAATAATTCCTAGAGAAACAACAACTAAAAAACAATCACCTACGTATCACAAGGTTACACGTCCTCGTATCCTTGAGTTGTTTTTTCTGCTTGGCACCAGCCCATGAAAAATGTGAGCTGTAGTTGGGCTCCAGCAACACATTCATTATGCGACCAACAGAGGTTTGCACATTGCTGTCAACTAAAGTTTTAAGGTCCGCTGACACACCAAGACGATATTCGTCGTCTGACAGTTTCGCCTGAAACGAAGACATGACGGTGTCGCTGTCCAACTGCCATCTGCCACAAGTCTTCAAAGCTTGAACAGAATTGAGACAGGAGATATTGTTGTCAATGCTGTCGACCACTTTGAGTTGCGAGAGTTTAGCCTCAATCGCAGAGACACGTGACTCCATTTGTGACTGGAAGGAGGACTGGCTTGACCGTATAGCCCTTAGCTCTTCCAAACAACCATATGTGCAAGCACCTGACTTCTCAGTCCTCGGGCACCTGCAAGTAATATTTTTAATGAAACTGAACTTACATGTCCACGGGAACAGGAATGTTGGCATTTGAAGTCGAAGGGACAGACAACAAGCTGAAATGAAATTTTAAAGTTAACTGTATTTTACCTCTCATTTATGTCCACAGTGGATGGCTTTCGGAAAGCAGGTGTCTCCAACTGAAATTTTCGGTCCGCCAACAACCAAGATGGGTAGTTCAACAAAGCAGCCTTCTCCAAAACTTTTCTTGTTAGTTTGGAAACACTGGGAAGATCAGTCAAGAATCATTGCTTACCGGTTTACCCTGCATTGGCTTGCAGGCTCCGCGTCCTCAGATGAGGAGTCCATATTTCTTGTTTGTCCAAGAACTCATTCGACTCTGTCACTGGGATGAATATTTTACCACTGACTCCCTGGAGACTGTAGTGTCCCTATTTTACAGGAATGTTATCCTTTGTCTAGATACTGTTGCTCCTAAGAAGGTAGTGAAATTAAGTAGACACCAAGCTGATTACATTCCGAGGGCATGCCGCAATAAGTTAAGGAAGTTGAAGAAACAGTACTATTCAACTAAGGATATATCACTACTGCACTCAATCCATGAGTCTCTTGAATCTGTCAAACGCCAACGCTCTCAAAAGGACCTCGACGAAGAATTAAGCGCACTTGAAAGCACCTCCAAAGTTTATAACTTAACAACACTTCTTAAAAAACGAATGCAGTCGACTAGGGACATCCCCTATTTACTTCATGACAAAGTTATCTACAATGTGCCTGCCACCATCTGTGAAATATTCAGTGAGTGGTTTGCAAACTTCAGTTTAGAAACGCGCATTCCTGGTGACACCGGCCCCCTTACTAGCTCTTTCCTCGGAAGCATAGTGTTCACCGACCAATTAATAGAACAAGCAGTTAAAAGCCTGAAACCTTCCACTAGCACGGGACCAGATGGCCTTGCTTCCATAATTTTCAAAAACAGTGGGTGTGATATACCCCTACTACTTCTTAAATTCTTCTCGATATCTATGGACACTGGCACTTACCCTAATGAGTGGAAAACTAGCTTCATAATTCCACACTATAAATCCGGTGATAAGGCAAACGTCCGCAATTACAGACCTATAAATATAACCCCAGTTGTCTCGCGAGTCATGGAGAAAGTTGTCAAAGATCAGTTGTCAGACTATCTACTTAAGGAAGATCTTGTTACAAGGTATCAACACGGATTTCTCAAAAATAGGTCTTGCGTTACTTGCCACTTCGACTTTTTCAACTGCATCACTAGTAGTCGCGAAGCACGTAAGCTAGTTGTTGTTCTCTACTTCGATATATCTAGGGCATTTGACATGGTATCTCACAGTGTTCTCTTTGAGAAGCTGTATTCATGTGGGATTCGCAATCCATTACTGAGCTGGTTAAAATCCTTTCTAAGCAATAGGGTACAAATAACCAAGGTTGGATCTGTGTTGTCTCATCCCAGACAGATCACAAGTGGGGTTGTGCAAGGTAGTGTCATAGGTCCACTTTTATTTACAGTATACATTAACAGCATTTGCAACTGCTTCACCTCAGGTAAATCATTCCTATATGCTGACGACCTCAAAGTCGTTTACTCCTGCCACGCTCATGAACTAAGCGATATGGTGAATAAAATACATCTTGAACTAAGTAGTCTCGCAACATGGTGTACTGAATCCTGTCTTAAGTTCAACATTGATAAATGCGGCTGGATTTGTATCGGAAACAGTAACCTTGACCTGAATCTTGAAATAAATGGGCGTAAACTAGCCAAGCTCAACTCAGTCGTAGATCTCGGTATCAGATACTCTAGTAACTTAACGTTCTCTGAACAAACTGATTATGCCAGACGTAAAACACGAAGGCTCCTAGGATGCATAACTCGCAATTTCTTTTGTTGTGAAACTAGGGTTTTATT